ACACTATAACAAATAAAGGAAGCCTAACACAAAAGGCCCTTACTGTATCATTCCATGGATATGAAATATTAGGAGTAGGTACTAGAGAGGCAGAAAGTAGATTGATGTTTTCTAGGGGATATGAGAATGAAGGGATTGCTAATGGTATGGGGTTTTATTTGGGGTGATGGAACTACTTTAGAACTAGAGGGAGGTAGTGGTTGCACAACATTGTGAAGGTACTAAATGCCCCTGAATTGTCACTTTAAAATGATTATGTTATGTAAATTTCACCTCAATTAAAAAAAGTAATCTGAAGCAAAAAAGTAATTGAAAGAAAATAGAGTCGTCAGGCTAAGTCTCCTTGAGAAGATGCCACTGGAATGTTGACTTTGAGAAGGTGAGACAGTTAGCTTTGTGGGTAGCTGGGAGGATCCAAACAGAAGGCGAACAAGTGCAGAGTAGGAATTGCAAGGAGGACACAGGTGGGAGAGGACATGTCAGAGAGGTGATGTGTGACTTCACTTAGTGGGTCCTCATAGCTGCTGAATTGGTGTTGTCTTTTCCTCTAGGTAAGGTGGGAAGACATTGGGAGTTTACAAGATTTGACTTCGGCTTCATAGTTCTGTGAAATATTTTTTAACAGGATCACTGTAACCCCTCTCTAAGGAATAGTCTGAAAAAGTTGCACTGTTGGAAACAGGAAGGACAATTCCAATGTTACTGTTAAAATCCAAGTGAGAGAAGATAGTGACTCAGACACGGAAGGTGTCAGTGAAAGTGGGGGAAATAGTTGCAGGGAGGATGTACTTTGCAGGTGAAACCTATAGCAGCTATGTGAGAAATATAGCAATAAGTCAATATGTGAGGAAGAGAAGTCAATCAGAGATGGAAAGTTTGGCTTGAAAACTGCTATCACTGTGATGAGACTATGAAAAAAGCTGCTTTTCTTAGGGGCAAAGGAGGGCAGGAGGGTTGGAAGAAATCAGGACTTTATTCCTGAAGATAAAAAGTCTTTGCTAATTCCAGTTTGTCATAGAATATATACCTGCTGCTTCTGAGTTTTCAGGGAGAATTGGGCGATACCAAGAGGAGGCTGAAGAGAAGGCGCTAAGTGTTGTTGAGAAACTCTAAAGTTTGGAGTATGGCAAAGAAGATCAAAAGGACACGTGTGTTTTGTCTAGGATGACACAGAAGATGAACTGAGCTCAGGGTCTTCTCCTGAGGCACGGAGACACCATCTAACACCACACATATTCTGCCCCCAGAAAACATTTTTATCAGGAAAAATAGAAGGAAAGTGGCATCTAAGATGCTCTCTGATGAAATGGGGGGAAGTTCCCTTGGCTTATTCTGGTGAGAATTATTGTGTGTGATTAACTTACATTCTTGTGAATGCAGTGTGAAAAATATGCCCTGACTTTTGATGTGGCTTATAGTAAACCAGGACACATATGTCTAGCTTTGGACTGTGTTGATAAGTATTTTGATCTGTGACACCAGAAAAAAATCTGGTGTGGTGACGTCTATGTTATGAAACATTTGGGTGAGTATTCCAAATGCAGCAACTGGCTGTTACCCTGGCAATAAATGTTAGTTTCTTGTATTTTAATGACAATATTGGAGAAGTTGGTTGTAAATAGGGACATGCAAGATTTCAAAACTGTGACCCCCAAAATCAGGAAAAGAGATCACAGTCAAATTAGGTTAATTTTGAAAATGAAGTATAGTTCTATGAAATCTTAAAAAGGGGGACTATGGCAGAAATTCATGTTTGCTTAAAACTGGTAATTTTATTAATTGATTTGTTAAGTAGTAGCCCTTGTCTTTCATATTTTGTCTTTTAAAGTTTCTATAAACTACTGTACTTTTATGTTGGATGATGTCGTTGTACTAGTTAGAAACCAAAATGATTCAGTCCTTTATAAAGAATAGCCTAAAGGGAAACTAGACTAATTTTGCTTAATAAACCAGTCACAGATGTAAGAAGGAAAACTACCATTCTAATCTTCCCTCTGTTTTAGCTGATATTAGAAAAAATGTCTTGCTTTGAGTTTCGACAAGTTTGGTTTCAACCCTAGCTGCAACTCAGTGAACTTGGTTGAATTATTATTTAACGAGTCTCATTCTTGGGTATCTATTTTAATCTGTAAAATTTGAATGATGTTTATGATAAGAACCATGCAGTATTGTACTTTGAATGAAGGATTTACCTGTTGAATGAATAACTGAATTCTTTTCAACAATAGTTTGATTTTATTACATGCTTTTGCAAGATGTTATGACTTTGTTAAAACTCTAACTGAAGTCTTATTTTTTAGATGATGAAACCAATGTTCATGTGACCTAGATTAACAAATAAATGCTTACCGGTAATAAAAAATTTTTAAAAAATGTTTTAGGATACTAAACATAAAACCTTGTCAAGACTATTTTATTTAACAAAATATCTAGAATGTACAGTCCCTCCCCTGCCCCTCCTTGTCCCCAGCACTGGCCCAAGCTCATCTGTCCATGAGTCTATGGTTTTTATGCTGAAACTCATGTGCTCTTGATAACAAGAATTTTAACAACTGAGTCAGGATGAGCAGTGAACAGAATTAATTCCTCCAAAGTATAACAAACTTCTCATGGTGACTCTCCCAGTGGTGAAAGCACTTTGTATCTCTTCTCTCAGAGTATAAGCCTGATGTCCATAATCTAAGCCCCATGCAGATGGGGAGGACTGCTCAGAATATTCCAAGCTACAATGGAGGTGGGTGAAATGGGTGAAGATGCTGTGGCAGACTGGCTTCAAAAATCTACTTACAATTCCTTTTAACCTTTCTCACCTGACTTGTATAAATTAGATTAGGCATGTGGTTTTTGGAGCCAGCCTACTTAGTTCAAATTCTAGCTCTATGTCTTAGGAGTATGTCGCTGAGACGAGTTACCTAATTTCTCTGTGCCTCAGTGTGTTCATCTGCAAAATAGGGACAATAAGAGCAGTGCCTGGATTATTGAGTAGTTGTAAGAATGAAGCTGTTAAGACATGTATCTCAAAAGTCCCATAAAACTGCATGTAGCATAGACTGAGTTCTAGATAAGGTTTTAGCTGTTACAATTATTTTACTGTGCTGGTCTGGAATTAGTTCCCTAAATTCTTTTGGGATGTGGTAACATTTAAAAATGAATTGCATTTGTTCATAATTAAGTCATGCCAACTATACATAGCTGAATCCAAATTTTGCAATTAACATTTGTTCTGCATGGAGCCCAAGGCTTGAGGGCTATTATTTCCTTTGCCACTCCATTTAAGATAGACTTCTTATTTACAGCCTTCCTTTATTTCTCTGAACTTATTAGAAAAACTTTTTTTCATTTAAATTGAGAATGCTAGAGGGACTGGTCTGAAGAGGGATGATCTAGCTTAGGATGACAGCGCATCACACTCGGGACCATAAACAGAATAGGTAAAAGCCCCCATCAAGTCCTGCTTCCCTCTCATTGTTTGTTCCTTACTTTTTGCTTTTGAAACTCTGTGTACTGAAGCTGTGCAGACTGGCCGAGCCATCGACTCAGTGTCTGCCAAGAGACCTGTCAAGGAAGGTCTGGAAGGGCAGTGTCAAGGTCCCAAGATTTTAAGATCTTTTAGAACCAAAATAATGTTAGCTTGAGTAACTGATACTAAAACAGGAGATCATTTAGTTATTTCCCCTAAAGGGATTATTTGATGTTGTCCTTAGGTTTAAACATTTATGTACAAAGATTAAGAATTCTTGGTACATGATGCACCAGCACTTTCCACAAGTCACGGATTTTGGCTAAAAATCAAATTTCAGGGTGGGTGGAGTATTTAATTGCAGGATGTCTTTGAGTGTCTCCCCTTTAATATAAAAAGAGTGTGTACATATACTTGAGGGGAACAGCAAGGAAGGAGCTACAGAGCTGGAAACTATCTTTAGCTCAAACATTGACTTGGAGTGCATTCCCCTTTGTCCTTCAATTTGGGTAAGAACCAATTATTTATCTAAAATTTACAATAAAACTTTTCATGCATGCTATTTTACATATTAAATGTTCATGTTTCAAGGAAATGTTTTTCTGGAAATATATTAGGGATCATTTTGTTTATTCTTATATTCCTACATTTCTTTCTTTTTTTTTTTTGCATAGAAGGACTGGGGTACAGCCCATAGGTACAGAGGATGAGAGGATTCACCAGAGGCAGAGTGGGGAGCAGAATTGACTGATTTACTAAAACACAGAGCTAAGGGGAGCAGTGGGTGAGACGGGAGAGGTCTGCTGTGCCATACATGGGTTAGTTCCCGGGCTGGGGATCGAACACAGGCATAGTGGATAGAGTGCTGAGACTTAACCTCTAGGCCACCAGGGAGGCCCCATATTTGTACATTTCTATATTGGTTCCGTCCCTCCTCTGACTTTTTTTTTTTTTATTCTCCTCTGACTTTTTAAGGAAAAAAATAGCTAAATGATTCCTTTGCTGAAAGAAAAAAAAGTATATCATTTTTTACAGACCTTAGTCTGGTGAATCTGGGGGATAAGGTTAGGCAGGAGCCATTTTGAGGCTTTGTTGTAGTATCTAGGGAAGTGATTTGACTAATGCTTTACCTGTCATTCTCCTAATCGCTTTGCTATAACTATTTCCAGGTGTCCCTTATTGTGAGTAAAGTTTGTGCACATGTGGTTGCCAGTTTGTGTGGATGTCTGTGGTTTATTTTACCACTTATACTATTGTATTTTCTAGGGTCTGTTGAGTTTTCTGTTTTTAATTTTTCCAAAACCAGAAACCCTCTGTCCTCTAAATATTGCTTCTCTCAGTACATTTACATGAGACTGTGAAGTAGCATGACCTTTATGAGGCCCAATCAATGCAATGATCTATATTTAAACCTTCCTGTTACACATATTTTTGCACAATAAATACCTGTTGTTTGCTTAATTTTCCTGGGAGGTATTGAGCAAGTAAAAATCATTACTGTAAACTTATCACTTATAATTTTGTATGATTTCTTTTTCAGTAGAGACACTGACAACTCTTTCCAACCATACATCTCAGGGACCACATCTCAGTCCTAAGGCACATCTTCACCACATGTCAAAGATCCAACTTGGTAAATTCAACAATCAGTTGCCAACTCTTGCTCTACATTGATAAGCAGAAAATGAGACTTTGGGTCTTGGCAGTTACAATAGTTCTTATACATTCCACAGCAGCTCTGTTTAGTAAGTATTGCTTTTCAACTAACATTTAAAAAAAATTAATTAAGTAATTCTAAGAATATTTCCCTTGTTTTAAATTCCTTGCTTCAGGTTGTTCTGACTGAATTATAATATGGAAAATTCAGTTATGTGCTATTCTTCATCACAAATCTATCAGGACAAATTCTTCATAAAAGATATTCTAATTTTAGTTTTATATATTCAAATATATCAAAATTTAGCATGGTACCTGAATGAAGGAGGTATCTTAAGCTTTTTTTGGCTGACAACATACTTTGTATAAATGGACATGGTTGCTTTGCAGGGATTCATTTCCAAATTAATTCATTAATCTGTGATACTTGTTTACTAAAAGATTTTATCATTTACTTATTTACTTTCTCAGTTAAAGTATTCTCCATTTCTAAATGTAATCCCAGAAGGGGAATTAGGAATATGGGAATTGTAATGTTTTTATATGATAATTTCAGGATCATATTTGTTCTATTTTTATTTGCAGTCAGGTCATACTGGGGTCTGGAAAAAGAGGCTTTAATTGTGAGATGTTCTAGACATGGTGGATCTCGATACCCTGTGGACTGGTATTATGCAAAAAACAAGGAAAGTGTCACTACTAAGAAAACAAATCGTGTATTTGCCTCTGGGGAACATCTTAAGTTTCTCCCATCAGAAGTCAATGACACTGGAATTTACACTTGCGTTGTCAGAAGGTATTATCCAGGAAGCCACCAAAATCTTTGGGCCTGCTTCCTATCCCCTAATAGTTGATAGTTTGAGTTATCCTAACTTTATTTCCCCCTTCTAAACTTTTCTGGAACAGCTGGATTTATATAGTGATTTGAACGAAAGAGTACTTCTAGGGAAAACCATCAGTTTGCAGTTTAGGTGACTATGAACTAACTATTTGGATGTATGATTTCAGAGATTAATTTGCAGCCCAATTAGAAAAAAGATTTAGTTTTCCTAGTGACCAAGAAAAACGAGGCAATATCTCATGTTTGGCTGGAACAGGAACAAGAACGAGTACAAGAAGCAGTGAAGTAGATGCTGGACATCCAGGAGGCCAATAGTGGGTACAAAATGATAGTTCCTGGGTCCCTAAAACCGAGAGGCAAACTAAAATCGGTTACATCAGATCTTGTGCCCATAACTTATTGGGTTACATCAGATCTTGTGCCCACAACTTCAAGGATTTGATATGAATGGCTAAATGTTTTGATTTTGTGCTCTATTTGGTACACACAAAATGTCAGATGAACTGCATCAGAAGGCAGGATATACACAGTTAGGTGGCTAGGTTCTGAGGTCAGACAAGATTCTGTTTCAGATTCATGCTCTGTCACTAGTTGCTGTGTAATGCTGACAAGTTATTTTTCTATCTTTAAATTTCCTCACCTGTAAAGTACTTATAAAAATAACTCACTTAAAAGTATTGCTGTGAGAATAAAATGAGGTAATGTTACCATTTAGCATGGTACATTACAAACTCAATAAATAATTATCTTTACTATATTGAACTCTTGGTCTTATAGCAGATACAGTGTATAAAGATATGATGCTGGGGGTCATTTTTGAGGTGACTGTAAGGGTTGTGTTGGATCTTAAATATTTAAAGATCTTAAATATTTAGGTACCTAAAATATTTAAAACTCTAGATTTTAATGATTATTTTTAAATAAGTAAAGAACCACTATATCTCAGTTGTTTTAATAAGAAGAGCAATATTAAGTAAATGTTAGATTTAGATGGAGTTATTTTATGATGTGAAATGACTCTTTAAAATTGTTTGGCTTATTTTAACAGTTCTACCTCCAATCTCACCGGATTTGTGAATATCACCATATATAAAAAACAACCAGATTGCAATATTCCAGATGATCTGATGTATGATGCAACATCTGGATCAGAAAAGAATTCCCGAATATTTTGTCCTACAATTGACAAATACAATTGGACAGCACCTATTGAGTGGTTCAAGGTAAAAGGAAATTTTGGGAGAGTAGATGAAAATGACAAATTGAAACAGAAGCTAGTGAAGAATTACTGAAAATGGAGGGGGAATTTTTTTTTTTTTTTTTTTCAGAATTGTAAATCTCTTCAAGGATCAAGGTACCACACACACAGGTCATACCTGCTGATTGATGATGTAACCAGCAAGGATGCAGGTAACTATACATGTAAATTTACACACAATGAAAATGGAGCCAGTTACAGCGTGACAGCAACCAGACCATTCAGAGTTAAAGATAAAGGTAAGAGTTATTGAATTCAACAAAATACAGTATTTGAGAAAAGATATGGGAGGAACCAAGCCTCTAGTTGATGTTCCTGTATTTCATTCTCCTCCCTCCTATTTCCTCCTGCTTCATCTTATCTTATACAGTCTCCACCATGACGCAAAAAGATTTTCTTAATGTGTTATCAAGATCTAAAAAATTTCAGAGGGTGATTATGCTGCTAATCAAAAACCACATCTGTTCTCTCTTTTATGACTTAATTTTTCAAAGATAACATGACCTTAATGCTAATATAATTTTTTTAATGGCAAATCAACTATTTGGCGAGCAAGATTAACGTTCATTTTCCCAATTTGTTGTCAGAGAGTCTATAAATAGAAAAAAAAGTCAATTTGAATTCTAATATAACTAACATGATTAGAAGCTTAGTGAGAAATTTTGTAAAGGGACACAGAGATATTGTAGATATTGCTTGGCAATCCTGGTTTGCAAAGCTTTCAACATTATCAATGACTTCAAATAGGCCACTTAATTCTGAAAGATATTTTAACCAAATTTACTTTATATTCTTTACCTGATATAGGGGAAACATTTCATAATCAAGTGAAAATCAAATATTTGATTATGAAAATCAAATATTTTCATAATCAAATCTACAAAGAGTAGGGGTTTCCTTAGCTTGGATTGATATGTGGATAGAATGAAGTAACACCTACATATGTAGCAGATTTCTCAGGGCAAAGTAATATTGGAGAAAAGATTTTGTTTGGAGTTTTTCAATGCTTCACCATCAAATAGGTCACAAGGGCAGAAAGCTGTGAGCAGAACTGTGGACTGACACATTTATCATTTTCATGGATCTTTTGAAATTTTTAGACTGTTATGTTTATCTGTGAAATTGAGCTTTTCTGACAATTGCTAGGTCCTACAAGTAGTGTAATGGGTTGAACTAGCATGTTTTTTAAAAAAATAAGAGAAAAGAGAAAATACCAAATGCATCATAGGTGATGTGAGAGTATTACTTGTGTGTGTGTGTGTGTGTGTGTGTGTTGCCACAGGTCATTGTCAGGATAATTTAAAAAAAATGCTATAAGGTAGAAATATGAAAATACAAGTTTTATATTGATGACCATCCAATGCTCTCCTAATATTTATATTTTCTTTTTGTTCTTGTTTTAAGATATGAAAGGTCTTTCTTTGTTTCCAGTGATTACAGCTCCTCCACAAAACAAAACACAGGAAGTAGAAATCGGTAAGAAAATTTAAGACCGCTATAAACACTACCTGAAAAATTCTTCTATATGATCCCCTCTAGGGGTCAGATCTTGAAGATTGAATCAACTGCCCTGTGTGAAAACACCTGCCCTGGGCTTTTGCTGAAATTAGGGACATGAGCTCCCAGCCATGTGCAGAGTTTAAATTTGTACTGCACTTTTAGAACATGGTGCTCCCTATTTCTTTCTCACTGTTATCCAAAAGATAGATATTGTTCCCACTTTATTTTTATTGTTTCTACATAGGTTCACATGAGATCAATGATGTACCTAAGGTCATGGCTGAGCAATGATAGAAGGACAAGAGCCCAGACTTTCTGACTCTGTCCATGTTCACCTTGCTCATCTCCCCAGTAGGAATGAGACACAATTCACTGTTCTTAGCAAGGAAAACAAATCCTCTACTGGCCTGGTCTTGGCCAGGCACATCTGCAGTCATTAACCTCAAGTCAAGTCCCAGATATCCATCACAATGTCCACCTCACTTTTGTTACACTGAGATGCATATTTTATCTTTCTCCAGCTTTTGCCCATGTTGCTCATTCTCATCATTCAATGCTAAGTCAGACATCACATCCTCTGTGAAATCCTCCCAAGCTACCCTGTCTCCCTGAGATATACTCTGAGTATCCAACAGATCAAGCCCAGGGGCACCATTTATGGTGCAGCTTGGTAACCTTGCTACTGAAAATAATTTCCCCCTTGGCCTTCCCATGCCACTTAGTCAATCTTCTACTAGAACACGAGACTACCTTATGTTCTAATTGTTTATATTATCATTGCCTCCCAAGAGACTCCGAGCTCCTTATCCCTTTCAGATGCCTAATTCTTTTTTTTAAAGATTTATTTATTTATGCATACAAGAACTGGGGTGTAGGCCAAAGGTGCAGGTTGCGGGGATGAGAAGATTCCCCAGACACAGAGTGGGGAGCATAATAGGCAGATCCAATGAAATACACTGCTGAGGGAAGAAGTGCGTGAGGCAGAAGAGGTCTGCTGCACCATGTGGGTAGCTCCCTGGCCAGGGATCAAACTTGTGCTGCAGTGGTTACAGACAGCTTCATAGGTTGTATCTTTGTGTCTTAACCCCTTGTGACACCAGGGAGGCTCCAGATGCCTAATTCTTAACACAGCTCCTGGTAGGAACATAGGGCTCAGAAAGGGATGGCTGAATGCCTGTCCCAAAGCTTAGGTCTTCAGTTCTGCGATAGTAGCAGTGTCAGGTCAAAGCTTAGTTCTACCTACAAAGGTAGCTTCTAGAGAGAAGGAAATTGGGTAGGAATTGAAAGGTGTGGAATAGACTAGTTAAAAAGAAATTCTGATTTATATTGAATGTGATTTATATTTAATGTGAAATTGGCAGTCATTTGCCTCTTTGGTGAGATGAAGGTGCCAAAGATGAAGATGAAGGTGCCAAAGATGAAGGTGCCAAAGATGAAAAAGGGAACTGGGAAATCAGCCATGACACACACTGGATATTCAACAGCTTTTTTCTCATATTAAATACCATTTGCAGAATTTGATTTATTGATGATTTTTTTTTTTATTTCTCATCCAGGAAGAACAGTAAACATAACTTGCTCTGCTTGCTTTGGGAAAGGTCCTCAGTTTGGGATTACTGTTCAGTGGTTTGTTAGTGGCAAGAAAGTGGGATACTCTGCTGAAGCCAGAATTCGACAGAAGCAAGAGCAAGATCAAAGGTATTTTTATATTGAAATTAAAAGAACCTCTTTCCCTCACAATTTGCGACTGCAAATTATGCTTTCAGAGTAACATGTTACTTTCTTAGTTCTAGCAATAACCTGACTTGTGTAAACGCCATTTTAAGAATAACTGATGTGAAAGAAGAGGATTTATCACTCAAGTATGAGTGTGTGGCCCAGAATTTGGATGGCCTGACAAAGCAGAACATAAGTCTAAGGAGAAAAAATCCAAGTAAGAAGTGTTTCTGAGACTTTGGTCACATGATTTGCCTATCAACTGTTAAGTCTTAGAGAACAATGCGGGGACCCATCAAGACAATGAAGTGACCCATCTCAGACAGTGTGCTTTTCTTCTTGGGAAGCTGACCTTGTGCAGAAAGATCATCACAGAATGTTTCTGTTTGCCTGATTGCCTTGCTACTGCTTTACTTCCTCATCTCTGTCCCTCCCCCACACCTTCTCCACTCCTTCCTTCCCCCTCCTGTGGGGGTTCCTCTTCAACACCTAACTGCTTCCTTGGTCACCTTCTGCTTTCTGGCTTTATTAGCTCTCACTGTCTCATGGTGTGTGGAAGGAAACACACCAACAGTAAACTGAACATGTTATTTTGTTACCTTTTATCTCTTGTGTAGCAAGATAAAAACATGTTCTCTTTTATCATTTTTTTGTCATAAGCAACTTTTCTTTAGGGGTACCGGCAAAGTGGATGAAAAGGTGAAGTACTGAACAATTGCCCATTTCAATAGGAAAATCTTGGATGCTACTTTATAATATGGGATTTCTGGTAGCCCAATTCCTTTCTTTAATGCCCGTTACTCAACCTACAATTCAGATCCCACCTTTTCTGAGTAGCCTTCCTTGATCACCAGTTAGCAATATGGCTCTGTTGCTGCACTCAGCACACTTAGGAAAATCTGTTTGAGACTTTACTCAACATGCCTAGAAGCTTCCTGAGGGCAGGGGTGACCTCTTATCTACTGCTGTGTCCTCAGTCTGTAATGCAGTGCCTGGAACCTACCATGTTCCCTGTACATATTGGTTGAATAAATAGATAAATGTACATCAAAGTTATCAATGAAAATTATTTTTATACATTTCTATTTCTCTAGTTATAGGGCTTAATTATACAAGAAAGCAATTCATATTTATGTTTGTTAAGTTGAACAACTCCCCACAAATGGAAAGGCCAAGTTATTTAGAGCTTTCCTATAGTTTTATCTGAATCGAGTATGCTTTTATTGACTTTACTATAATTTGATGCAACAAAATATAGTTATGGTGAAAATGTGAAACTGATTACTCGACATTAGATTGATAACAGACATTCCATGTAATTTTTCAAAACGTTGAATTCTGTTTCACAAGTAATCGGTGCATAGTGAGGCAGGGTAGACAGAGTGTCTGTCTTGGATCTTGGCAACAAGAGCAGAGAATTGCAGAGAATCTAAACCCATCATGCTTCTCAGAACACTCATCTTCAGAAAGTGTTGACCGAGCCAGTGAAGACACGCAAGCTGCTTCTTCCTCCCACCTGTGGGATGTCACTGACTAATGATGTCAGCAAAATAGTTTTACAAACATTTTCTTCCTCAGCACCTGCTGATTTCCTAACTTGTTTGCATTTCCAACAAAGACACCCTATTTATCAGATGAAGCAGTTAATTGAATATAAAATGATAGGGGAGCAAAACATGCTATTTTGATCGTTGTCACTCTATCTATAAGTAAGTCATGTATTATTTAGGGTGTTTGTCTGATAACTAAAGGGAAAGTTAAACTCTCAGTTTACTAACAAAGCACAGCCTAGTTAGCTCAATTTGGATAAACACAGAGGCACAGTGTGATGAAAAAGAATAGGGAGTGATGAGAGAGTAGACCCATCACGTGCAGACCCTTTCTTTTCAGTGACCCCAATCTTGTGCCTGCCCACTCTTTACAAGAGTCTGAAACTTTCTCATTTCTCACCCCAAGTCCTGCAGAAGTCTCTGTCTGAGGTAGTGTTTGGGCCCTTTCCTGTCTTCATTTCAACTTTAAGCAATGAGCTGTAAATTTTTCTCAAAGAAACAGAATCATCATACTTTAGATGACTTTAAGTGCTATCTTGCTCTGTGGGCTGTCAAATTTCTGACTGTCATAGCTATCATGCCAGGAAATGTGGAACAAGTTGAGGTGTTGTGTTAGGCAGTATTTGTGGAGGTGGGGGCATGGTGGTTCCCAAAATTGGGAGATTCCACTTTTTCCATCGGCACTGCCATTGTGTTCTTATCCCCATGCTTTGCTTATGCCATGATTTTATAAATGTTCTCTGGTCACCCTGTATTGAAATTATTTTCATGTTACATGTACTTGTGATATTGTTCCTTCTACATTATTTTATCTGCTACCTTTCACCTTTGAATCAAAATGGTTATACTCTGCTTCAACAATTGTGTAAATTAAAAATTGTTGCTACTACTATTGAATTGTCACAATGAATTATTTTATTTCTAATCACAGACTAAAAGAAATTTCAGCATTGTTTTGAATTTAAAAGCAAAAGCTTAAAATGCCTATGTCCCCATATGATTACATATTATTAAATAAATGTTTGATATTCATAATAATAGTACAGTTATTCATTGTTTCCTATGTACCAGGAAATAAATAAATTTCTCATTTATTTTATTAATATACCCCAAGGAAGAAGCTGTTACTATCATCTAATTTTATCAATGAGGAAACTGGGGTAGAAAGAGATGGCAAAACTGCCAAGCACTATATTTAGAGAGCCAGAACTCAAACACAGGCAGTGTTTGCTGTCATTTTCACATACAATAATTATGTGCACATTTATAAAGTCATTAACATTTAGGAAGATCTTGAAATTCAATTTCCTTTCATGTCTTGTACTAACTGCTTTTCTGCAGTTTGAAGAAGTCAGTTGCATGCATAATTCCTTTACAACAATCCCCATAGGAAATGTGGTTACCATGTGTCTAGATAAGAATTACAGAAGGAATGAACTGGAGAGGAATCCCACAGAAATCCCACTGATGTGATTATCAATATACTTAATGACAGTGCAGACAATGAACTCTGCCGATTTTCTTTGAATCAATTCACCTTGGTCATTCTTGACTGTCTGATGTTAGGTGCTGAGGAGGCTGATGCACTATTGAAGGATTTCGCATATAGAGGCCAGTGATTTCCTTCACCAAAAGTAGGAGCCCATGCTTTGACACTTCAGATGAAAATGACAGAACCATATAATGAAATCTTATCAGACTGTTCTTACATTCATCTCTAAGGAGGAGTACTTATAAGATACGTAGTTAGCAATTCTAAAGAGGGAAGTAAAATGCCAAAATACTATTAATGAGCACATTTCTTATTTTCAAATTGTACATATCTTTTACAAACCTTTGAAGATGGGCATCATCTTGCATATGTATTTTGTGAAGCAATGAGCTGTATTATTATAGCTAGATAATACTATAAGAGAAATAAGAGGATTCATAGGACCTAGAATTAATAATTTGACTTCTTCATGTATCACTTAGAGACTTACAAGCTCATATTTGTTCCCTGCTTTTCTATCTCATCAAACACAAATACAGTAAGACCCTAACACCTGTTGAGGTTATTCCCCTTAGTGCCCCCGACACCAAGCCTGCTCATTCTGTACTCAATAGTACACAAGATTGAACTCTTCTCATCTCTCACCCCAAGTACTGCAGAAACGTCCTGTACCATTCAATTCCTAGTACCTACCGTCTCTTTCCAAAAAAAAAAAAACACATCCACTACCATCATATTAATCTTGCTTGAAAACTGCTTTCATTGTTAACACCCCACTCAATACTTTACAAAGACCCCCATGATCTTCAGGATAAAGGAAATCATGCCTTATTTGGAGCATCAGCCTAGTCAGAACATAGCCCTAACCCACTTCTCTAATCATGTAATCCACAAATTGGATGACTCCAATTCCTCAGAATACACACTGCCATCTCTGCACTTTGGCTCACAGCATCCTTGCCTGCCAGGCGTACACTTCCATTTTTGCTGCTCTCTGCATCTTCCTTCTTCTTCGCATAAAAAGCCTTCCTTGTCCAGTCCAATATGGAGTGAGTGTAACTTCTAAACACCTCTGCCATCCAAAATTATGTTTTTGTCCCCCAACTTAGTTAAATTTACATGTGTCTGTGTGTCTCTTATGCTTTCAGAATCCCCTGAAATATCTAGCCTCCTGCCTTGCACAAAAGAGGGGCTTCATTAATTGATTTTTAAAGCAGTCATGCAAATTCATGAAATCTTAAAGCAATTATGAAAAGTAGGCATCTCTTGTATGAATCTCTGGATTTCCAATAGAAACCAGCACCCATGTGTTTGCTTATTTAACCTTGTTTTGTGACTATAATGATCATTTTTCTCCTCCTATCTTTTGAATAGTTGATCATCGAAACATCTACTACATACTTACAGGATTTAGCATATTGTTAATGCTAATCAATATCTTGGTGATAATGCTAAAATTATTCTGGATTGAGGTTATTCTGCTCTGGAGAGACATAATTAGTCCTTACAAAACTAGGAATGGTGAGTGACCAGTTTCAAGTTCTTTTTCAAAAGAAAAGATTCCAAAATGTACATGTGTTACTTGTCTATTAGTCTCTTAACAGCAGTGCTGTTAAACCCAGATTCTCTTTTTCTTGCTAATATATTATCATTAATCTTTATTTAATCCATGCAGAGTCCATCATCCATCTCCTCTTGTCACTTCAAGTAATTCTGAGAGTCATCTCATCAACTCAAATTTCTTCCCAAGCAGAACTCCTGATTGTACTAACTTCTCAATAGCATAATGTGCCCTAAGTCCAGAAAGATTTGAACATTTTGGAAAATGTATATTGGTAAAATTTTATGGATTCAAAAGGTTAACAAAGTTTTTTTTATTTTTTAGATGTGAAAAGTATAGAAAGATCCATTAGAATGCAGCTATATTTTATCAGAAATGCTGTTCCATACATAGAATCATGGCTCTGTGCATAATTATGCACAAAAGATAGCACCCCTGGGCCTCCCTTGGGATGCAAGGGGTTAAGTAGCAACCTATGAAACTCGCTGCAGCACAAGTTTGATCCCCGGCCAGGGAGCTACCCACATGGTGCAGCAGACCTCTCCTGACTCGCTCGCCTGCTGCTCCCCTCAGCAGTGTATTTCAGCCAATCCACCTGTTTTGTTCCCCACTCTGTCTCTGTCTCTCACCCCCCACCTCTGACTTATACCCAGTTCTTGTATGTATAAATAAATAAATCTTAAAAAAAAAAAAAAGATAGCTCCCCTGCTAAATAGGTGGCAGATGTATGTTAGATTTCCATATGGTCCACTCAAATCAGGTCTAAATGTTTGATTTATGTAAACTTAGCCCCCTTAAAAATCTTATTCTCTTACCATGATTAGCCTTTGGCATTTTCACTTCCTCAGGGGAAGGATGGGGAAAATAAGAGATAAAACTGAGATCTATCAAGCACAGAAAATAAAGGTCCTGTATCCATGACTATTAACACTTATTAATAGATTACTAATCAAACTTGATAATATGGCTCAGATTAAACTGATCAGGCTCTTGCCTGTTCTCTATCGTTAGTTCTGAGACAGTAAATAGGAGGGCAATTGGGGGATTAAAACTGATTTTCCAATCATGTTTTAATTCAGCAGATTTTTGTCATCATCTCTCAACTCTAAAATATTTTGGGCAAGGCAGTACATTCACCAATAAGCATCAAACTTGGTGAGAATGTTTAATAAAAGTCAAATGAGAATTTTTATAACCAAGTAATAAAGTTGTACTCCTGGCTTTCATTTTCAGATGGAAAGATCTATGATGCTTATGTTATCTATCCACGGGACTACAATAGCTGTCCGGAGGGGGCCAGTTCTGTGGAATGCTTTGTTCACCAGATTCTTCCTGCTGTTCTTGAAAATAAATATGGCTACAACTTATGCATTTATGGGAGAGATCTGCTTCCTGGAGAAGGTAAATTATCAACTCACATCAGGAACAGAAATTTGTATTTCTCAGACAGAAAAGGGATAGGTGATCTTATCTCTGCACTGGATAAAGAATTGCATTTATTATCCCTGACCTTAGGACAAATGGCTCTAGCACACTGACACCTTATTCACGAGGTCTTCACAAAAGTGTTGGTGATTTGAAGACAGAGCAAGGCTTTCTTATGTATGGATTTAGAGGGCACTGCCCCTACCTGATTTCCCATGTCTCCCACTAGAATAACCCTGCCATCTCTTCATTCTCTCTAGAAAATTTGAAGGAGGAATTGTGAAACGAAGGAGTCATGATTTTCCTTTATTGGCAAAACATTTTCAAGTTTATATTCTCATGACAACAAGTTGAATGGTAGCTTTTATTTCCTTATATTCCTAGTCAATTTCATGTAGTTTGACAGGTGTGTTACAATTTCAGCATTTCAGTAGTTTTTTTTCCCTTCCCCTCCCCCCAAATTCTATCAAGTACCTGAGAACCCTCCTCTAATTCCTCAGAGCTAGGAAAAGTTTAGAATGTGAAAGAGGCAGGGACATCACAAGTGCAAGTGCACTAAAGTAACTGTTTGGGAAATTGTGAATTTAAAAAGGCATTCCAACTGAAAAGAAGGTTCCAGTGCCTTTTGATTTAAAGGCATGCACAAAGGTCAATTTGGTGTATCCTGGAACATTTTGGGTACTGCTAAAGGAGTAATAATGACTTGTAACATGTACAGTTCATGCAAAGGTAATCCACATCTTCTCTAGAGGTCCCTTCTTCCCCAGCTCTCCCCACTGTAAAGAGTAGTGAGTCATGGTGCATAAAGTTCCCTTCAAGTTAAGTGGGTATCTGCTAAGAAATTATAGGGACCCCCTACTACTGGTGATATTGCATCATGTGTTCCATCTGGCCACAAGTTCTTCATTTCTTCTTCCTCAGGTCCATCAACTTCATTTCTAGTTACACCTTTTCCTGACAAAATTCAAAAGCTAACTCTCTGATGCTCAAATTTGTGTTGTTTTATCATTGTTTTCATTTAGAAACGTGTCCCACTTCCCTCCCTCAAGCATGTCTTTTGAATTTTTCTCAACCAAAATTGAAAGGAATCAAACCTAACAACACTCCTTTCTTAGAAAAAGTTCATTACCTACCAGAGTGCATTATATTTCTTCCCATGTGATTTATCTTACTTTTACTTCTTCAAATCCAGTCTACACTGCCCTCCATCTAGTGGCTGATGGTTATAGAATCCATCACTCCCTAGCCTGCTGGTCAACACTGGGGTTGGCAATAGGAGGCTCTGGGAGATACACAGAAAGCAGGCATGTGGATGCCCTCTGAGTGGGGTTACAGTGTAACTGTGCTCCTCTCTCCTGGAGGCCAAGCTCTTGAGGGTTGGCCTTCCTCAAGTATCTTGCATTCTTTGCATTCTACAGCTGCTTCCTCCCATTCACATTTGTCATGCAGTGATGGCGCCCTAATATTACCCAGTGTAGGATTCTGCACCATTTCTTGTTGATTTTTCTTGGCTCTGCCCACATCTTTTATAAATTGTCCTTTCATCAAACTCTTTATAGTTAGTCCTTTTGGGTGTGTCAAGTTTTATGCTAAGCTCCTGACTGATACCAGGTCTCTCTCTGGCACTATTCAACATTCATGTCTTAATTTCAAACTACATGAATTAGCAGTCTTTTGTTATCACTCTCTAAGAAAAATCTTGAGTTATTTTATTCATGATTACGTTTTCTTAATCCTGCCGTTACCTCCTTCTGGAAAGACTGGGTGTCTGACATGATCATTCTATATTCACTCAGAAGCTATTTTGAAGTCACCATGGAGTAGGTGCTCCATAAATATTCACTTGGCAAAGGAATCTAGTCTTTTTTTATGATTTCTCTAATCTGGATCAAAAAGATTCTAAACCAGACATGATTTGGGAGTAAAATGGATCCAGGACTTCCCTAGACACTTCGGTCAGATTAAAGGAACGTAGTTTCCTTAGTTTGTACTCTTTAATGTAAGAGCTCAATTTTATATTCTTAAAACATGGAAGCTATTACTCTGAGAAGACAACCAATATAACCAATGAATCTGAATTCTAAGTCTCCCATAAAGTACCTCTACATGACTTTACATTCAAAAGACTCTTTTTAGAATAAGTAAATTAATCAGTGTCAGAATCTCCTATCAGAGTGTAACTATAACAATCTGTATTCTGAAGTTCAGTACATTTATGACCAAAGGCTGACAAACACGACAACAGGAAACCTTATGCCTGTCTTTTATTGCTAGACCTAGCCACTGCTGTGGAAAGCAACATGCGAAAGAGTAGGCGGCACATTTTCATCCTGACTCCTCAGATCAAATACAGCAAGGAATTTGCCTATGAACAGGAGATCGCGCTGCACAGTGCCCTCATCCAGAACGACTCCAAGGTGATTCTTATCGAAATGGAGGCTCTGAGTGAGCCAGGTGGACTGCAGTTGGAGGAACTTCAAGATTCCCTGAAGCACCTACTGAAAGTGCAGGGGACCATCAAGTGGAGGGAAAACCACATCACTGACAAAAGTTCCCTGAATTCCAAATTCTGGAAAAAAGTGAGGTACCACATGCCTATGCCAAACAAACTTCCCCAAAAGACTTCCAGCCTTGGTTTCCTTGAGTGACCCCTGGCAGTAGTGCTGGCTTTGATGTGTGAAGGTACCAGATATTGTAGATCTGAACTCTGCTTAGCTGGATTCAGTTACTGTACCAGATCCTGGAATCTAGGGTATGAGCAGTAAGACTGTCAAGGGTATTAGTTCCTTAGACATCTAGTAACAACCCTTCTGATTTCCTGATTCTGGGTTAAGTGCAACATATGCCCAATTTTATATCCTCAATCCCACTTTCTCCACCCCATATTTCCTTCCCTCTGCTGTCTTGATCCACTGTAGTGTAGGATCCTTTTACTGTCCTCTTTTTCTCTTTTTTTTTCTCTTCTTATTTTCCCTTCATTCCTTATAATTCTCTATTTTTAACATCAAACTAAAAATTTTAAAGTTAAATTTTGTTGTAATCTGGAAGAATTTCCCTCAAGGAGATTCCTTTAAGCAGCACATCAGTAGTAATTCTTGTTACCATTATGAGGATTTAATTTCATATGTGTTCAGGTGCTTAGTTTTATCATCTCAATATTGTTGCTTTTGTTGAAGTCTATCTAATCCTAATTGCTATTATAAAGATTTATTTTTCAGTTCCAAAATTTGTTCATACCCAGTCATCCATCAGTATTTGTGAAGGGTTGGTTCCATGACTCCCAATTCCTGCAGATACCAAAACCTGAGGGTGCTCAATACCCTTATATAAAATGGTGTAGTGTTTTTATACACTATGTCCATCCTCCTATATACTTTAAATCACCTACATGTTGCTTATAATAGCTAGTATAATGTGACTGCTATGCAAGTGGTGCTTATATTGCAATGTTTAGGGAATAATGACAAGGAAAAAAAGTCTGTCTGTACTGGGTATAGATGCAACTATTCTGATCTAACTACACAGAGCAGATTTTTTTATCAGCACTTGATTGAAAGTCGTACCTGCTGATATGGACAGCTGAATGTGTTTTTATTCTGTCCAGAAATATTTTTCTCACTATAAAAATGATATTGCAAAGAAAGCAGATAGTATCAAAGAAGAAAACAAAACTCATTCCCAAATCCATCATCCTAAGATTTTGGCTTTTAAACATTTAGATGAATATCTCTGTATTAAAAAAATAATAATAAATAAATAAATAAATAAAAATAAATAAATAATAATAATTCATACTTAAACTTAACATTTATACAGCTAACAGAGTCAATCAATTTTGTGTTTTTTTAATGAGCACCATAATAAAAGCATTGAGCATGTGATTTACATTTTAATGTTTTACAATATTCATAGTGTCTCATCTCATTATAGTGTCTCATCTATAGCTATGCTATAGCTCACAAGCCTAATTCTTTACTGTTGGATACTGAAGCTGTGTCCAACTTAAATAGCACTCTTTATAAATAACTTTGGAATGACCATAGCAGAATACCTTATATTTTCCCATTAAAACCATTTTTCAAATTGAGAAACTTTGTTGTAACATTTCTATGAAATGAGTAGAGCATTTTGGCAGAACTGAACCAAACTAAAGTTAAGTTACAGTCAATGTCACTCCCTCAATTCTCAGAATCTCTTCACATGACCTCAGGAGCCACAGAGCCAGTTAGTGGCTCAACAGCTAAAGCAGAGGCTCTTTAGCCTGGGAGTCCTTAAACCTCAGGTTTTGCAAGTGCCTGGAGGTCCTGCTTCAGCTGCTTAATAAAGTGCATGATTCCATATTTAACTGGCAAAAGAAAATGTCATTTTGGATTGTCAACAGGGTGTACAACCTTGAACTCACTATCATTGAAATCTCACAGAATCTTGCCTGGAAAGAAATTATATTTCTGGAAGAATCTGTAGATAGCCATCCCCTATAGATACTCTATAACTGAAATCTATACTCCCTGCATTAGGGTTGCCTGACAAAATATATCAGTTAAAGCTGATTTCACAGAATGATATTTGAAATTAATAAATAATTACTAAAAATTATCCAATAAAAAAAGGTAGCAGAGTTGATTAGTGAACAAAGAATTTGGAATCAACAAGTCATCTACAGCTATTAACCAACTTTGTGTGACCATGAGCAAGTTATTTAAGTTCTCTAAAGCCTAGTTTCCTTGTGTAAAATGAGTATAATAATAAGTCTTTGGATTTCTGTGTTAATCAAATGAGAAAAAATTTTTTGGACTAAAGTAAGAATTCAGTTAATGGCAACAGTTTTTATATTATTTCACTTGTGCTTCTCCAACCACCAAGAATGACAGATGTGCCTTGGATTTATGGATAAAAGGAATTTTGGAACTGATTTTACTTCCCTCTGTACAAATCTACTTGAAAGTACAGAGCCACATCTGGGATCTTTCTATAGCAAATATATAGACATTATTACATGGATTTTATAATAAGCTCTTCCTGGCTCCATAATACTTTTGTTTTTGGTTTACCTCATATTTTATATTTTTAAATATATTTTAAGGATCTATACTATACGCTCCTTTGTGAGTATTCAGTAAACATTTACATTTTCTGAATGTGTTCCATTTTGTATATGTACCACATCTTCTTTCTTCAATCATCTACAGTGGACTCTGAGGTTATTTCCATATTTTAGTTAAGTGAATAGTGCCATAAAAAAATTGGGGTAAATATAATATGCCTTCAATTTTTATTTCTTTGCTTATTAAAAAATGATTACCCTAGGTGAGAATATCTGTGTCGTAGTCTCAATCTTAGGAAAAACCAAAAAGTTTCACTGTTAATTATGAAGCTACCTGTAGGTTTCTCATAGATGTTCTTTATTAGATTAAGATTATGCCTTTTTATTCTGTTTTCCAAGCATTATTAATCAAGATAGGGTGTTGAATTTTGTCAGATGCTTTTTAAATTGCATTTATTGAGATAATTATATATGGTTTTTCTCTTTTACTGTATGATGAATTATTTCGCTTGGATGAAAATCTCATTAAACCTTTTTCCCTGTAGGTCAACGGTGGTTCTATTCTTATTTTTTGCTTGAGCGATCCAACTACTCAGCAGTCTAAACATTTATCCTGGTTTCTACCACACTATAAAATTTACAAACACTTGTTCTCCTTTTTTTCTAAACATTTTAAAAGCTCAATTCAGCACTTCTGAGTCCCGATCACCCCACCCGCCTGTCCGCTACCTTTCAACAGAGAACCCCTCCCACCGTCTTAGGCACTGGTCTGAGTACTGCAGACACTCACCACCTCCACACCTTTGGTTGGCCTCCCGGGTCCTCCCCTTGGGGTCCGCCCCACCCCCACCCCGCCCCGCACGTCTAGGCCCGCCCCGCCCCAGGTGCTTCCTCTTAATCACGGACGCGGCCTCTCAGCCCTGGGCAACTGGATCCCCCCTGTCCAGGCGCCCCCGCCTTTCTCGGGTGTGCTGCCCACGGTGACCTGAAGGGTGCACTGGAGGAGCACGGGTGTGTCACCTCCAGGCCTTTCGTGCACTGGGCCTCCACTCACCTCCCCAGCGCTCCGGACCAGGGCACCGCCCCGCTGGTAAGTGTTGGCGCACACCGGAGGTTTTCCTGCGCTCAACTGCCAAGACCATGGAGTAGCTGCGGGAACTCGCAGGTGGGGCGCTCAGGTGGAGGAGCCCACACCCCTTGCATGCTGCAAGATGCGCAAGGCCACCCCCACCTAGAACCTCAGACTAGGACTACAGCCTCAGTCCCCCAGGGGCACTCTCACACTGGGAGCATCGCCCCACCGGGAACAGCCTCCCCGGAGGCGCAACCCGGATCTGGGCAAGCCTGACCAGGAGCAGCACAGATCCCGCCTCCCACCCGCCCAACATCCAGGTTAGAAGCAGCGTTCTACCCGCAGCTTCTGCCACCTGGCAGACTCGTCCTTTTACTTTCTATTTTTCCTTCCTTTCTTTGAAAAAAACTTCTTTAGTTGCCTCATTTCTTTAGTCACACTTCCGTCCCCACTTGTGGCTCCTCTATTTCATGTCTAGTTACACAATCCTAGGGGAGGAAGTGCTGTTTCTATCTTTCTGCACTCCTGCCTCCACTGTGAAGGAAGAAACCATCCCTGTCCGAGCCTGGAGCAGCCATCTGAAGGTAAGGACAGGTGCTCACTTCTTTGCTGCTGTTGTATTCTCTACTCTCCCTGCAGTAGCCCCTCCCTGCAGGGGGCAACCCAGCCTCAGTGGCAGGGATTCTGAAACAAGATCAGCTAAGTATGCTATTATATATACCTGTTTGTATATGTAAATATATACAATTTAAAACTATTAAGTATATACGTACATTAAAGTATGATAATATGCTATGTGTGTAATATGTATAAGTATATGTTTATGTATAGATATACAAGTGCACTCACACATAAACACAAATGAGTGGAGAGAATATTGTCAACTTTCTCTGTTAGTATGGTTTTACAGATTAACACATTCCCAATTTTTTCCTGGAAAAGTGACATAAATTAAGTGACATTTTCATTTGTTAAGCAGTGACTGTATCTGACACTGTAGAAAACATTTAGATGTATTATTATTATTTAGCTGTATTATTATTATGGGTTACAGGTCAACTGAGGTAGGAACTATTCGAACACAGAGGTGTTTACCAATTTACAAAAGGGCATCCAGCTATTAAGTGAGCCCAGATTCACTCTTGACATTCCTGAATCCAAACCTGTTGTTTTTCATTTGGGGTGTCTCTAGGAGTTAGAACACCCAGTAAGGTGAATTGAAGTTACCAGATAGATTGGTGACCCGGCAGTCACAGACAGATGTGGACACTGTGACTACTGTGTAATTTCATTGTGTTTCCTCACTCCATTATGAGACCTCCGCTAACTCCCATTTGGTGCCATGCAGTGCTGCCTCCTGGGGCATGCTTCTCAGTCTGAGGACCTTGGATGGGTTGGGAGGCTACAAAATTGGGGGAAACTGAGTTTGTGCTGGTTTTGGGACAGTGTGACAAAAGCATACCAAGGCCAGAAACAACTGGTCTGGGAACACGGAGTGCAAAGGTAGAGCACCTGTGCTCTGGGGCCTCACTGAGGAGAGGAGAGTCCAGGTGGCCTGGAGCTGGAGTGGTGGGAGTCATGGTGCAGGCTGGACAAAGGTTGTTTGGGGCAGTAGTAGATGGACAGCTTCTCTGAGAAGACAACCCTTGAGTCAGGATGCAACAGTGGCAGGAACCAGCAGCTAGGGTGGGGAGTATTGCCCAGGTATCAGGGCCAGCGCCCACATAAGTGGTGCGGGGAAAGTACCTCCTGATGGATAATGCAACTTATACTTGCCTGATAAGGTTTGTGAGATGGAAATGATTTTCTTGGCATTGCTCTTGAGAAACCTAACTCAACACAAATTTTTTTTTCTCTTAGTGTGTATATGTTTGTTTTATCATCTCAACATCTGAATAAGACACTTATACATTGACTACTGTAGAGATTGATATTTTAAAAATCACTGGTGTTAATGATTTTTATCAAGGCAGTTTACCTCACAAGTTGCTGGTAAGAATGGTTTACAGTGAGGCAATCAGCACTAGTTATGTGTGTCAAATCTCAGTTTCCTTATCAGAAAGAGCTTTGAAGTAGTCTATAAGCAGGGGTGCTGTGCATTATCTTCTAACGAATGGTCACTTTGCTCAGGTGGGATCTAAAAGCAAGCGCAGGTGAGTGGGGGTACAAGACACAACTCTTAAGATACTTTGGAGAGTCATCAGTTTGTGACTCTACTTTAAGCATACAATTTTTGGAAGAGAACCTTTTTATTTAGAGAAAACTTCATGCTCTGCATAAAGAACATGAGAAAACAATAGTTAGATTATTCTTTTGTGTATATATATATATATATATATATACACACACACACACACACATGCCTACCTGTACCTATACCTACACTATACCTATATGTACATATATTTGTCTTCAATATTGTTAAATATATGTATGTATTTAAGTTATATTAAATTTACTTTTAAGTATACAAATAAGTCCCCTATATTAGTGCTCCCTACCTTGGCTGCACATTACAATCACCCAGATTTTTAGAAGTCAGGATGCCCACACTGTATTGCAGATGTCTGGGGCCCCCAAACATCACTGTGAGTTTTTTTATGTTCCAGGTGAGAATGAGTACTCTAGACTTCACAATTAAAAAATTAATTAAATGAATTAAAAATTGTCAGTTGTTAAAGCATACTTTTCAAAGTGTCGTGAGTTAAGAAGCATTTCAGAGATGGAAGATTATGCAGATATAACAGTGGATCAGATGATCACCTAGGACCCCAAACTATATGTGAATTTAATGCATTATTTAATTCATCAAATAAGAAGCAAGCAAACATGCATGAAACAATTAAGTCAATTAGTGATTACTACGAAAAGTAAAAGAAAACAAGATGGGTGTAGAGAGAAGGGTGTGTATGTGTGTGTGAATGTGCATGTTCACACTTGGGCAAAATGCTAAGTTCCACTGAGTGCTCATGGGGGACCTTATACATTATAACAAAGATATCAACAAGCTATAAGAAAAGGACAAAGCTGGGCCTCCCTGGTGGTGCAGCGGTTGAGCGCTGGGTTGCGAAGCTGCCCATGGCCTCTGCGGCGCCGGTTCGATCCCCGGCTGCTCCCCGGCCACCGGAGGAGGGTCCCACATGGCGCGCAGACCTCTCCTGCCGCCCGCTGCTCCCCTCAGCAGTGTACTTCGGTCCTTCTGCCTGCTCTGCTCCCCGCTTTAGCTCTGGTGAATTCTCTCACCCTCCCGCGCTTCTGACTGTACCCAGTGCTTGTATAAACAAGCAAAACAAACAAACAAACAAATAAATAAATAAATAAACATGCCTCTATTAAAAAAAAAAAGAAAAGGACAAAGCTAATTATTTACAGAGAAATAGTAGCTATTTAGGAAGAGTAAGTTAGACTTCATCTTTTTCACAAGCACATTAATTGTAAAAAGAAAAAAGCAAAGCCACAAAATAAGGAATATTTTATATCTTCGCTGAGGGGAATGTTTTAGAAGTAATGAAAAAAATCACACAAGAGTAGAATGATGGGTTTGACTTTATAACTATGATATCTTTCATGTATTAAAAGACTTAAAAGAGAAATTGAAAGTTAAACTCCAAAACAAGCTGGAAAAAAACACTAAACATCTAAAGACTGGACAAAAAGAATAACAAGAAGGCTGTAAAGGGACTCCCCTGGTGGCGCAGCAGTTGAGTGCTCGGCTGCGAAGCTGCCCACAGCCTCTGCAGCCTCTGCAGCCTCTGCAGCGCCGGTTCTATTCCCCGCTACGGGCGAGGGTCCCACATGGCGCGCAGTTCCCCGCTCTGGCTCTGGTGAATTCTCTCACCCTCCCGCGCTTCTGACTGTACCCGTGCTTGTGTAAATCAATCAATCTTGAAAAAAAAAAAGGCTGTAAAAATGAAAATTAAAAGGCTATAAGGGCCTCCCCCATGGCACAGGGAGACTCCCACGTGACGCGGCAGACCTCTCCTGTCTCGCCCGCTGCTCCCCTCAGCAGTGCTTTCGGTTGGTCTGCCTGTTCTGCCCCCCCACTCTATCTCTGGTGAATCCTCTCACCCTTCTGCACCTCTGATCTGTACCCCAGCTATTGTATAAATAAAAAATAATCTTTTATAAAAAAGAAAAGAAAATTAAATGGCTAAAAATAATGATTAACATTTGCCTCGTTTATACTAAAAAAATGTGAATTTAATGCATTATTAATTCATCAAAGAAGAAACAAGCAAATATACATGAAACAGCAACGTCAGTTAGTAATTACTATGAATAGTAAAAGAAATACGTTGAGATTAAAAAAAAAAAAGATGAGATGCTATTTTACCTATTTGACTATCTAATTAAATGTAAAGAATGACAATGCTCAGTGCTTACCTGGGTGTGATACAGGGATATCATCTTGCATGTTGGGGAGCATGAATTATTACAACATCCTGGATATGGTGTGGTAGTATGCAATTATGTTTAAAATGCATTCTTGTACTCCCATGCTATAACATCAAGAAAAGTAGGTACGTAATATTAACTAACTTTTAAGTGATACTTGTTTTTTTCCCAGACTCTGCAATAGTAACTGGTATAACCTTCCCTTCAGCTCTGGGAGTTAATATTGTTATTTCCTTTCATAGATAAAGAAATTGGGGCACAGTTTTCTTATATTTTTTCAGCTGGTAAAGAGGAGTATGAGGATTAAAGTCTAGCTATGAATACAGGTGATGCTCCAAAATCTGACCCATACTGCCTTACCTGGGAAATGGTCATGTCTTTTTTTATTTTTCAATTAAATACATCTTTTCAATTATAGCCATCCATATGAAGGAATATCATGTGGTAATTAAAATGATGGTAACAGATTTCTGTGATCCATAGAAGTGCTCATTCATTAATTACAGGATATGAAATTACTTAAACATCTTCTTCAGGATTTGAAAATATATAGAAATAGAATAGAAATATATAGAAAGCGCACTAAAGGATTGGACATGTTGAAATTATTTTTCTTCTGTTCAATCTTCATTTTATAAATGTCCTACAATGGGCATATGTACTTTAGGAATCAGAGAAATGTTTTTAAAAAAAAGAGAGGGAGAAGAAGATACACATACACACACACACACACACACAGAGAGAGCGAGCGAGCGAGAGATTAAAAAATTATGGCAAAAAAATATCAAATGTAGTGCTAAAAGTACCCCAAATATTCCTACATGCAATAAATTTACTATTGGTATCTTCCAGTGTATATTTTGATATTTACTAGAGTATCTATGACATTTTGAAAAATGTCATATTTCTATTACTTAATATCTTAATCTCTTAAATCCACAATAAGTACATTAAAATGTATATACATACACACAGAAAGCTGTGCAAATATCATCTCATTTGTGTACTGGAATCTTGTTTCATACTGAAACTCAGAATGCTGAATTATCTCATAATAATTTTATCTTTTAGATCTTGAAAAATTAAAAAGAGCCAGCAGTGCCCTTTGAAAGTCCGTGTCAACTTTAACCAGAGGAAGTAACACTTATTTTTTTCTACCTGAGGTAAGAGAATAGATTGAGTTAATAATAACATGTGTGTGGGGGGAGGGAGCAGTGGGAGGATTGATTTTAAACCATAGGCACATTCTCACTTGGTCATAAAAGTTGGTACTTTCCATAAATACGTATCCCTTTTGTCTTTACATTATTGATTATCAAATACCTGGTGATGTTACTCATAGGACTGACGTAAATGGATTGGTATCTTAGCCTTTAAATTTCATCCAGGATTTGGATATTAACAGTCCTTTTTAAAAAAAAAAAAAAAAAAAGCTAGTATGGGAAGTGAGTGGCAGTTGGTGAGAGAACTATTTGGGCTTGAGAAGCTACCATGGCCCCAGGAAGGCTTCATAAATGCTAGCTCTTTTAATAAGTGAGTAGTTCTATAGAGGCCTTTTTATGTCCATCCTGGTAATGAGCAAGTCGTTTTTGGGACTTTCAAATAAATTGAGCAAGATTGCACAGTCTTTCAGGTTTCAAACTGGAAAACCCAGAAACCAAGTTCTGGGAACATGCTTTGCTCCCTCCACGGGATGGAACCCAGTGTGTGACAAGAAAGGACAGAGGACAGTTTGTGAAACAGCACTGTTTCCTCCCCCTATTCTGGTAGTTAGTAGGCTAAAAAAGGGTTGGAGGAAAATGCCAATTTCAGTTCACTGAGGTGTCTGAAACGTATGTCCTTTTCCCTGAAATAAACACATAAGGGTGTGTTAATGCAGACACATATCCACACACTCTTCCTCATGAACAGCTACTAGTGGGTGCTGCCTGTGTATGAGGCATCCTGCTGTACCTCAGCAATGAGGTGATGTACAAAAAAGACTTTGTCCCTGACTTAGAAATTTATGTTCTGCAGAAGAAAAAAGTATTTCAAAGTTCATCCCACAAATGCAGATCATGATGAGAATTTTGGTGTGGTGATTGACAAAAGTAGCTGGATCTCTCACATACACACACATATGTAGAACTGTCAGACATACTTCATATATCTTTGACTGTCTATTCATAACATGCTAGATCTTCTAGACATTGTCCACAAGTTTGACCTTGGAGACAAGAAAGTTGTATTGTATTGGAGAAATTAGAGAATTAGGGATTTCTTATGGATGTAGAAATTTATTGTCTAAAATTTTATTACCTTTAAAAATACATGGCTGACAATTTTGAGAAAATTTGGTGACTCTATTGAAGATATAACAATTTTCAGGGCCAGTATTTTTAAAGTCTGTATGCAAGAATAATTTTTTTTTTACAACCTCCTCTGAAGGACAGACGGGTACACTTCTTTTTAAAAAATCTTTTTCACTGATGAGGCATCGTTATTTCCACAGATACCACTGACACTAAGCCATGCTTGGCAGAACGCTGCTCATGGTGCTTCTGGCCCTCACATTTTGCAGTACCTGGGGTATGTGATTATAATTACTCACAAACATGTTTCATTGGTAGTTTTGAGGGAATATTGAGGTCTCACTTTTTTTTTTTTATGTGGAGCTGTCTAACAAAAATGTTGAATTTATTATAGTTAGTGATTTTTAATTTTCCTTGAGAAAGTTGCCAACCATTTGGGGCCCTTGGCACAGAGAATTAAAGATTCAGAAGAATGGCATCTAGTAAAAACTCACATGGGATTACAGAAAAAGACATGATTTACTCCTCCAAATTTATGTAGTAAGAACATGATGAAGTAAATTACCTTTGTCTGAGATGAAAATCTGCTTAGTGTTATTTGAAATCTAAGAGGTCACAGAAGAAAGGAGGAGTGGATGGGAGGGGAGAAATAGGGGCAGAGAGAGAGAGAGAGAGAGAGAGAGAGAGAGGAAGGAGGTGAGAGAGAGAGGATGAGAGAGAGCTAGCAAGCTCAAAGAGGGAAAATACATAGTCACAGGTTGGGTAATGAGGTAATGGTTAGCTTAGGTAGACTTAGACTGGTTGGGAGCAAGATAGATGAGACAACTGATCTACTGATGATCTAGATGGATCCCTTTCCATGGAGACTCAATTAGGAATATTTTGGGTTGAGTGATTACACTATAACTTCTGTGGTTTCCTTATGAAGAAATTATATTGTGTAACATATTCTTTTAAATGTTGTATTTATCTGTCCAGTAGCTACAGTAGGTTAAGTTCTGGTACTTCCCTGTTTGGGAAAATCTGTTTGAAGTGTTGCCTTCATTTATATTCTGAAGGAGTGTTAAGTGTTGGAAAGATGGATTTTCTGTCTCTTAGTTTGGAAATATTGATGTTAAAGTAAAAAAAATATACAAGATTCAACAGATTTCTCAAAATTTTCTTACTAACTGAATTTATTTTCCTAAACCTTTGAAAAGAAAAAAAAAAAAACATGTTTGCATTCTGTTTTTTTTTTGTTTTTTTTTTTTTTTTTACTTTGCTGATCTTTTGAAGAAAGTTGTACTTGGCGTAACTTCATTACTGCACTTGAAGGGGAACCTTTCTATCTGAAATATTGCCCATTTTCTTCGCACACGAATGAAACAACCACCATAAAATGGTACAAAAGTAATTTTCCTGAAGACATTGCGCTAAGTTCAAACAGTTCACCCAGAATTGTTCCACGTGGTTATGTTTTGGAGTTTTGGCCAGTTGAGTTGGATGACAATGGAAATTATAGTGTCCACACAGGGTGAGTATACCCTTACTTTGGGTTGGTTTGTTTCATAGCACTCTTGGATTTTGTTCAACAAATCAACAGTAATCTGAGGGGTCAGATAATCCTTCATGTTCTTTCCTCTACTCTTCCAACAATAAGGAATGATTACTTCATAATTGAAGAACTAAGTTAAAAGCTGCCCCTGTGTTTATCTATGATCTTAATAAAAATAAATTACCTTAATATGTCTTATTATAGGGAATCCTTACCAAAGATAAGTGAAGATTGAGTGAAATTCACTTAAAATTCCACAGTTCCTGTTGTCTGGAATTACTAGTCAAATGAAATAAATGGCGGTCATGTTATTAACATGCGGGGAACAGGAACAATGTCAGACTCCTGAGTAGTAGTCTCAAGGTGGAGAGAGGTGCTGGAATTGGTGTAGGTAATTCTCCTAATCCAATTTTCAGGAGGTTGTTGAAAGCCAGGTGGCAGGGCTAGTGGAGAATGTGTGTGATTGGCAGCCAACAACCTACACTGTGAGAGAGGGAAAGCCCAGGTAGGACTTGGTTTTAGCTCTTGATTCTGTCTGGGTACTCATAATTAAGGATCATAACTCCTATGAAATGAAAACAGTCAACTGAATGTGTAAGTGATATCATTGAACTTGGTTCTGTATATTTGTTAGATTATTTGGAGTAACTGGGACAAGGGATCTTCTGTGATATTGACTCTTAGAACACTGATGATGTAGTGTTTATCTCATACATTTGTAATGTTATACACATACTTACTTGTGTTATGTGTATATATGTCATGCTCTGTAGACATACATAGATAGATACATAACTAGATAGATAGGCAGAGAGAAAGAGGCAGAGAAAGAGAAAGAGATTTGAGAATTGATCTGCAGCACTTGTAGAAAGTAGGCCAGCCTTCAACGGTAGATGTGTGGTGCTGCGGTGCTGTCAGAGGAGTGTCTTTCTACAGTGAGCATCTTTGGAGTCCTGATCATTATCAACTGTGCTGCGGAGAGTTGAGTGTGAAATCACAGTGAAACATTGGTGTTACCCTTCTAGTTTTGCATAACCTGAGGTCATTTTGGTTGTTTTTATACATAGAAACTCGCAGGAGTAAGAAAGAAACTGGAGAACTTTTTTTAAAAACCAATTTTAAATCACATTTTAAAAGTGATGGTTCCAGAAATGGTTTACCGTTGGGTCTTTTCACACCAAGCTAAGGAAGAATGAATACTCATAAATGGAATAGAGAAAAAAGAACAACTCCCCAATCCTAATTGAATAAAGGCATGGTTTGAATGAGCAAAGGTTTCTGGACAGGACAGAGTAAATTGAAGTAGTTACTACAAAAGTCAGTTGGAGACAGAGGTGAGGAAGTACAGGGGGAGGCTGGGAGAGGCAAAAAAAAACAAGGTGGCTCACAGTAACTGTGGTGACAGAAGTTATTGGAGGATGAAGGATGATGTGAGATTAAAGTGATAATGGGAGGAGCAGCTTTGGCAATATTTTTGGAAATAAATGGGAGCTTGCATGAAAGCAGGTTGCTTTGCATACCTGGGAGCACTGAAGATATAGAACTTTACTAATATAGTGCAACAGGCAAACACTAACCTCTGTTGCCACATGTGTGTGTCCACATGTGAGTGCAATTGCACACTGATTTAGGTGAGTCTTTATAATTTCATGTGGGATCATCAATGACCAGACCCTACTCCTGCAATCCTCCCATTAGAACTATGATCCTTTAATTGTCCAAAGATGTATTGTTAATAATCAAATGCTAGTGGATACATTAAGCTTGCGGTGAAAGAAACTTTGGCAGAGGAATTTTAAGGAGGAAATCCATTCAGAGAAAGGGAATGCAGAGAAAGAATTGATGATAAAAGTGAATAAATGAAAATAGAAAAACACATAGAAATCCTATAATCAAGATCTAGTGTGACAAGCAGCAAATTTGGCTTGGTAAGTGTCCTCAAAAGAGTAGACTAAAGCTGCTGAAGCAAGTGTGGCCGGAAGTGGCTTTTGTAACCAGGATGGACTTGGCTTTGTTGGGGGTGGAGATTGATGCTTATAGCCCTTCATTGGTCATTGCTCTTCATAGCAAGTTTCCTAGTTCAGTGTCTTGGACATGGATGTGTCAGCCAGTCAGTATTTGTTAAGTGTTAGGCATTGAGGTTTGAGGAATAGAGATCAATGTGGTCTAATACAATGGGAATGTGGGTGTGCCCTATTCCTTGTAAACAAGACATAGAAAGTGTTTCTCTGTTCAGCTTAGTGAGGCTGAAATCAAGGAAACATCTCGGAAGAGGAAGCTGCTAATGGGATTTTGAATCCTTTCCAAAGACCAGGTGGCTCTAACATGTTTCACGACAGTTGATCCACTGCCTTTCATTTTTAGGAAAGTTTGTCCCACTCCTCACAACTTCCCCGACCCCCATCATCCATCCCTGCCCAGTTCTGTATCAATTTATACCCAAAGGAAAGGGTCAGATTCACGTTATTGTGAAAACATAGCATTGTGAAAAGCACATCTGTTTTTCAGGGCCAAACTTGTGCATCCTGGCCCCTATGGCTTATCAGGTGTGTGAACTGAGCCAGCTATTTAACTTTGCCTGATGTTTGCCTTTCTCCTCTTTTATAAGGGAATAATCATCTTCATTGCACCCATGCATTACCCTATCTAGACCCAGTGATTTGGATCAGAATAAACTTCCCTGTGAAATACAAAATCCAAAAAGTATAGACAAAACATTTGTAAAACAAGTACCTGCCTTTGTTTATAGATCTCTCCTATCTTGGGTTATGAAGCTCTGAACTTACCCATCTCCAAAGATCACTGAAGTTTTAAAATTTCTGTTCTGGTATCTCTATGGTCTGCAGGGTGTGTGTGTGTGTGTGTGTGTGTGTGTGTGTGTGTGTGTGTGTGTGTGTGTGTGTGTGTGGAGGACTGCTCAGCTCAGGTTTTCTCCTTTATCACCTCCTACCCCTAGCCCATGAAAATTGTTAAATTTATCACTGCACTGAACCAAAAGAAGAGGAACAGGGTTTAGTCATCAATAAATGAATCTCTATATACCAACATAAGGGAAAACATTTCATTGAATTGGTTCTGCTTGCTGTGTCTCTGTACTAATTATAAAATACATTTTTGTGAGACCTCCCTGGTGGCACAGGGGCTAAAGTCACAGTGCTATCAAGCTATTGGCAACCACTACAGCATGAGTTCCATCCCTGGCCAGGGAGCAACCCACATGTTGCAGCAGACCTCTCTTATCTCGCCCGCTGCTCCCCTTAGCAGTGTATTTCAGTAGAGCTGCCTGGTTTTTTTTTTTTTTGTTTTTTTTTTTAAGGAGAACTCTTTCGGTTTTTTTTGTTTGTTTGTTTATTTATTTATTTATTTATACAAGCACTGGGTACAATCAGAAGCGCGGGAGGGTGAGAAAATTCACCAGAGCCAGAGCGGAGAGCAGAGCAGGCAGAAGGACCAAAGTACACTGCTGAGGGGAGCAGCGGGTGGCAGGAGAGGTCTGCGCGCCATGCGGGACCCTCCTCTGGAGGCCTGGGAGTAGACAGGGATCAAACCAGCGCTGCAAAGGCTGCGGGCAGCTTCGCAACCCAGCGCTCAACCGCTGAGCCTCCAGGGAGGCCCAGAGCTGCCTGTTTTGCTCCCCACTCTGTCTGTGGTAAATCCTCTGGCCTACACCCCAGTTCTTATATACATAAATAAAAATAAATCTTTACTATATATATTTGTGCTAATTATAAAATATATTTCAACCTTTTTTTTCCACAGATATAGTAAGTATAAATGGCAATTAAAGGTAATTGGAAGGAACAAAAGCAGCTGTTTTACTGAAAAAATTGTAAAGAGCAAAGCTGTGGAAGTTAATAAACGTTTGGAAGTAAACTGTGAACCTGGTTATTATAAAAACCTAGCCTACCGAACAGTAGTATATAAGGTAACACTTTTGAAATATTTTATTTATTTATTATATTATTTATTATTTATGTTTTACATCATTGTTCATTTTTAAACAATATTTGCTTCCTCACCCCCTCAGGTGTAGTCCCCATAGAATTTCCTTCCCCAATGCACCCGTGCACCATCACCTCAGTCCCCTGTGCTCCTCCCTCCCTCCCTCCCTCCCTCCCTCTGGTTCCTCTCCCTCCTCCTCCCCTGCAGTATGTCTCTGAAAAAGGAAAAAAAAAATCGAGAATGAGAGTCTGATGCCAGGGGAAGGAACCTTTGATTTCACAACATAGAGGCCACGTCAGCTCACGCAGTTCAGCTGGGCATCTGAGTGCGGTGCCCTCTCCCGGCTGCGGGATGAGCTTCTGTGTGTGATGGACGAAGCCGGATTCCTGCCCCATGTTAGTGTTAACTGTTAAACAAATGATAATAGTCTCTTCTCCCTTGCCCTTCCTTCTTTTTCCTCCTCCTTTAGTAATTAATTTTTAAGAATGTTAGCTTAGGGATTTTAATTTTCTTCTGCTACATGTATTAAAAATTTTAAATCCCAATGTATATATTTTTTCTGAATATATGAGTTCATTTTGGAAGTTAGAAGATGGGAAATGAATAATGAAGATAAGAAAAATCACCCATAATTCCACCAACCACAGATTTCTTTTTCATGTGTAAACATCATCTTTTAAAAAGTGGCATAGTTTATTGCTATATATTTCTTTTATCTGCCAAAAATTATGTTGTGATTATTCCTTTACATCGTTAAACATTCTTTCATGCATGAGATTCTATTGTATAGATACTTACAGTTAACTAATCCTGTTATTGGACGTTTTTACTTTCCTACTTTTCATCCTTATGTATAAAATTAAAATGATGAATGTCATTCATGTAAGATAAATCTTAGGGGTATATGTATCTACAGATATATATATATATATATATATATATAATATATATATATATATACATGTTGACTTGTAAGAGCTATTTTAGAACATACCATGGATATGAGATATAAATGTATAGAGACAATCACATGTATATTCTATACATGTGTATATCGTATGCATACATACATATACAAATACATCAACAAATTATATTATTTCTATAGGAAAAAAACCAGAAAGACATAACTGTCATGGAAGTTTTGAAGACCTATGGGGAGGTGGTCTGGAAAGATCTTGGGAAAGAAGAAGCAACTTATGATTTCCTAGAAACTTTTGTTTGTATCTTTGCTTGAACACTGTTTACTTGTGATTTTTAAGAAGAGTACTTATACTAAATGTTTTCCAAACATCTGAGTCAGTCCCAAGTTGACTTGACTCTGTTTTCTGTCAAAGATACAAATGTTTTATGAAGTTTGTGAAGTTGAGTGGACTGGGTTTTAAGAAATTCCAACATGTAGGCATTTAGATTTAGAAAATACAGGTATTAAGAATGGTTTAGCCAGACAGTTGACTGGAGGGTTTAGGATTCTAAGTCTGCTTATAGATCATGACCTGTTTGGAAGGAGAGAAGATAAGGAGGGGCAAGGAAACTACATCAATAAAGAACTTGGCTGGAAATAGAAATACATGGCCTTTGATAATTAGTATGACTTTGAAAACATAGTTTGGGATTATAAAAAATGTAACTTAGGCAAAATCAATTTACTGATGTGAGGTACAGATGTGGGTGCTACACAAGCCTGTTTGAATCACACTTTGGGCCAGTCCCAGTTATTACCAGCTTTTGCAGTTTTGAATGCGAAGTCTTTGGGCAGAAGTTCTCCATGCTTGGTAGTTGCAAGAACAGTGTCACATGGTCTAGGTTAGCAATTCAACTCCCATTTCCCCACTAGGTTCTTAGGTTGCTTCAGAACCTCTTTATGTGTTACTAATGACTTAATTAAAGGATTGAAGGAGGTAATTTTTTTTTTAACATGCTTTATTGTGGAAACATTATATCTTTTATGTGGTTGGAATTACAACAATACATTATTTAACCAAATCTTAATTATACCACATTGGCCACTGTGAAAAGCTAAAGACAACATAATCTCAGTTCCTAATCTTAGTGCTTCACACATTTAGCATTATTTTAAACCTTTTTTGTTAGTTAATTTTTTTTCTTACACCCTTATAGTCCCCATCATTCTCCCACCACCATATCACCCGTGAACCTGATCACCATATTTCCTTGAGTTCTGTGATTTTTTTGTTATTGCTAATTTCCATGATATGTATGGAAATTTATGGTAGAGAGCCATATTTGAGTCTGTCATTTTAATATTTGAATATGATTTGAATAGTCTCGATATTTTTCTAATCAGTCCATTGCTTTCTAATGGAGGATGTCAAACAGGCCAATAGTCTGCTAGGTATTCATTTCTGAATAATTCTGCCCCCACACCCACTCCCCACCCCTAGGATGGGCAATCCATGGAATTAATGGAATCACACTAAAAGTGTTACAAAATAGAGTTGTGCAGAAAGTTCTGACCAAGGCTAGGCCTGGGATTTTGTATTGTTCTCTCTCTGTCTCTTTCCCCTTCTCCCTCTTTTTCTCTCCCCTCTGAGTGTATGTAAGAAAAAGATTCAGAGCCTCCCCTGGTGGTGCAGTAGTTGAGCTGAGCGCTGGGCTGCGAAGCTGCCCGCAGCCTCTGCTGCACTGGTTGGATCCCCCCACCGCCAGCGAGGGTCCCACTTGGCATGCAGACTTCTGCCACGCCTGCTGCTCCCCTCAGCAGTGTGTTTCGTCAGTCTGCCTTTTCTGTTCCCCATTCTGGCTCTGGTGAATTCTCTCACCCTCCTGCACTTCTGACTGTACCCAGTGCTTGTATAAATAAATACATAAATAAATCTTTAAAAAAAGAAAAAGAAAAAGATTCAAAGAAAGTGATAAAGGTGACTATAATGCCTCTATATTCTATTTCCCTTGTGTATTGATAATGATATAGCGATTAAGTAATGGAACTGTATTGCATTGGTCCAGTAGAAACAGTGCCAAATCACTAGAACACTTACTCAGAAATTGCTGTATTTCATTCTGGTTTTCTTTTCCTCTAATGATACATACTGTTTCTTGAATCATTGTGATAGATTTTGCTTTTACATAGAATATGTTAACTTTTTTTAAAAAAAAAAACAGGACTGCATGAAGATAAAAGACAGTGAAGATTCACACATAAAGAAGAATGCAAACTTTACAGATCAGGGATATTACACCTGCGTTTTTTCTGTTGATCACAATGGAAAACTATTTAATGTCTCCAAAACCTTTAATATCACAATAATTGGAGGTAAGAGATATTGTACAATCTGGAAGAAACTATTTTAGTAAAACAGATATTTTCTTTCTTCTAAAGTGATATAGGAAACCAGAAGCAACTTAGTTGGAGCTATAGCCACAACATTATTTCAAATATAAGGGTCAAAATCATATTGGCATCATTCACCTCTCTGAAAAGCCTTCTGGGAAGTAGTAAATGAAACTTTCTAGAGGTGAACTTCCCATGAATCAGCTTAAAAGAGCTGATTGGTATTTGAGTAAATCGTGGAATCTTTTGTTGCTACATATATTTTCACTCAACAAAAATTTACTGAGGATGTTTATATTCGATAAACTGTACTGGCTATTGGGAGGTAAGGGAAGCAGGAAAATATGAAAGTATACTATTCACAAGGAATTTGATTAAAGTCAAGGATGACCAGAGTGAGACAGAGGGAATATTGTACATGGAAGTGGAGTCATCTGGGAGATGTTAAAGGCACAGAAGGGGTCTGGAGGAAGAAAAAGAGATGGATCTTGGAAGCTGAGAATAATAGATGTGGACAGGCAGCGGGGGTTGCTGTGGAAGGACACTGTGATAGCAGGGTGTAAGGAGCACAGGAGTTGTGCAGCTTGGTGTGTGACTATTAATCTAACTTATGAAGAACTTGGATGATATATACCAGAAAAATTGAAGCCTGGAATTTTAGAGTGACAGAGACCTCAGAGTAATTTAATTAAACCCCACTCAGTGAAGATGTTCTTCATGCGCACTGCTGCTATTTCATCACTATGTGCCTTTTTGTGAGCTACTAAGGAAATTATCAAGTTATACAGCATCTTGGTCCAAATTTTAGTATTTGATTGTTGAGCATTTTATTCTAAGTCCAAATGTGCCTTCTTATCCTTCTACCAAGTGGTTTTTGTTTGATTTCAGCAATGCCACAAATAAAGTATGATTCCCCAAATTGATATTTCCTTTCAATATTCGAAGACAGGTGACTTCCTTAGATATTCTTTTCCATCATCTTGGAATCTGTAAAATTCCTGTGATGGTTCATTCAAAAACATGCTGGATGCATAGTTACAAGAGCTCTTCTGCATCCACAAAAATTTTTTTCACTTTGTCATCCACATATATAGCTGAACACCATGTACTGCTGCTGTAGAAATTATCACAAGGTTAGTGCCTCCAAACAATATAATTTTATCATATGGCTTTAGAGGTGAGAAGTATGAAATGAACACAGCTAGGCTAAAATCAAGCTTTCAGCAGGCTTGCAATCTTTCTGGAGGTTCTAGAGGAGAATAGGTTTTCTTGTCGTTTCTAGCTTCTAGAGGCCACTGTACTACTTGCTTTGTTCCACTTCCTCCATCTTCAGAGTCAACAGAGTAGCATCTTCAAATCTCTCTCTCTAACCTTTGCTTCCGTCATCATAACTGTGAACTTTCCATTGATGACAGTGAAACAACAAACAATATCAGTTGCAATGATTATTTCATGGAAATACAACTAAAGTGAATGTAAAGTGATGACTATTAGATTCTTGGTTACATGGGATAAGCACATTATAACAAATTTTTGTTTTTGAGAAACTCCGTGCAACGCTAATGCATTTTTTTCTTTTCTGACATTTAGGTCACAGTCTTATAAGTCCAGCTCTTCATGGACCAAATCCTGAGTATGTTAAGGTGGAATTAGGTATATTTTTACATACTTATATTCACCATGCATGAATGGGGACATACTTAAGTCTTCCTAGGTTAATTCTAATTCATTGTTTATTGATATGGCATGCATGACATATCCCATATTTAGTGAAAAATATTTACAAAGGCAGGAAAAGCCTGTCATTGTTTGAATGTTGACATTTTTTAGAATAAACAGTCTGTTCAAAAGATAATGGAACTGTGGTTTGTAGACTAGGGTTTTAGTAGCTGTGTAGATGGCTTTTCTCTAGTAACTCTTGGTGATCCTCAATATGAAAACTCAAAACACTCTGGAGAAATGATTCAAGCCCATTATGTGGTTTGAATATTTGTTTAATTGAATCATTTTGAATCAATGACTGAACTGACAGTGCATTGAAACTACATGCCCTGTTAAGCTATTCCTTTCAAAAAAAAAAAAAAGGAATGAAAGAAAAGGGGAATCCATATATGTTAAGCCAGATATTGTGTGGGGTAATAGGAATACGATATTGAATGAAATCCTCCAAGCAACATGGAGGGATATTATTTCTACTTTAGGGAGTCAATTACCATTGCTGGTAATTATAATTTGTAAAAAGTCAAACCACTGGAAAGTGACAGAGTTGGGATTCAAGTGTCTGATGTTTATTTTGAAAGTCCACATCTTTTGACCACAGCTTGCCTAGCAGTTATTTATATGACTACTCATTCCCAATGTGTCTCTGATACTTTGCCATTATATTTATGTTTTTCCCGTTTTCTATTTTCATTCCTTTTCTTTATTAATTTTTTTCTCACTTTGGGTTTAATTTGCAATTCTTTTTTTCCAGTTTGTTAACATGGAGAGATAAACAATTAATATTCAGTATTAGAGAATTCATTTCATGCAGTATGTGTATTTTAAGCTCTAAATTTCCGTGTTATCACTGTATTAGCTGTTTTCAATATATATAGGTATGTTATGTCTTCATTCCTACTCAGTTCAAAACATTTATTAAAATTTTCTTTGTGATTATTTTCTTTCATCTATGGATTATTTAAGTTTCTTAATTTCCAAACATTTGCATGATTTTATAGTTTTTTCTGTTATTAATGTCCAGTTCAGTACCATTATGGTCCAATATTCTATACTCTTATCACTTCATTCTTTTGAATTTGTTGTACTTTGCTTAAGGAACAGAATATAGTGGATCTGGATGAATATTCTGAGTGCATTTGAAACAAGTATATATTCTACAAATTTTGGTTTTTATCATACTCTAAATCTCAATTAGGCTAATTTGGTTAATGGCATTGTTCAAATCATACATCTATAGCCTTGGGGATCTTTTATATGCTTTCTCTACCTGTTGCTGAGAGTTCTATGTTAGTATCTTCAACTATGATGTTTAATTTGTTTAGTATTGTCAATTTTTGCTTTATATATGTTGAGATTACCTTATGGGCACATACAGAATGATGCCTATTGAACTGGCAATTTTTCTCATGAAATTTGTCTCTTTATGGTAATACTTCTCTCCTCAATGCCCGCTTTCTCTAATGTTAAATAGGTACACCAGCTTTCTTTTGCTTAGGATTGGCATGACTTTTTCCCCACATCTTTTTGCTTTTAACATTTCTTTGTCCTTATACATAAAATGTGGCTCATATAAACTGCATGTATTTGGATTGTTTTAGCAATCCCATCTGTTTAGTGTTTAATCCATTTACATTTAACAGATTACCAGTGGAATTGATTTTCTGCCTATTTTCCAAGTGTCTCGTGTTATTATTTTCCTCTTATCCCGCCTTTTCTTTTGAATTAATAAAGTATTTTTCTTTATTTAATCCTCTGTATTTTCCAGTTAGTTGTATTTTTTTGTGTCCTTCATTAGTAAGTAGTTCCCCTAGAGATGACAATATGTACCCTTGTCTTAATAAGACAAATGTATGTATTATACAGTTACAATGTCAATGTCACAAACATTAAGAACCTTACAGCAGTTAATTTCATTCATCCTCTTCATCTGAGTTATTAATTTATATATTCTCTCCTGCATTTACTATAAATATCACAAGAGATCGGCATAACCAATTAATATTTACCCAAATATTTGTTCTGTCTTGTGCTGTTCATTTGTTCATGTATTTTCTTGCTTTCATTTACATATTTTTTCTTGAATCTGAAAAGTCTTCTTGGGCAATTGTGTGTGCAATGTTGGTAGTAAATCTTCTAGATATTAGTTATCTGAAAATGTCTTTGTCTCAACTTGTGAAGAATATTTTTTTTCAATATAGAAATATAGGTTAGCAGTTTTTTTTTTTCTGGACTTTAAAGATGTCCTTTTATCATTCACTGGTTCATTGGTTGTTAGATTCAATTTTATTTTCATCTCTGATTATCTGTGGGGAGAGATCATGTGTCTTTTTAGGCTTTCCCTCTGTGGCACTTCTAAATACCATAAGAAAGCAGGAGAACTCATTAAGTCTTTGCAGTCTCTTATACTACCTAAGCCCTTAGCAAAATCCTATTAAAATATTCACTGGACTCTCTTTTCTTTATAAGATTTCTTCTATTGTATAAACTAAAGCAAATTCCACCAGGGAATAAAATGGCTGGCAATTCCAACTTACCTTTTAGTTTAATTGTTTACCTTTATTTTCCCTATAGTTTGATTTCTTTAATTTTTAGCTATTTTCATTAAATATTTTGTGTCTTACTCATTTTGTTTTTCTAGAAGTTGCTGTGGGAATGTTGATCTGATACTACCTATGAATTACATATTGAACATGAAGTTCACTGGACATTCTCTTTTAAAATAATTTAATTATTAAATTACTAATATAAATAATTCCTAGTTTGGTGATGACTTGTGACTACTGCCTAATTATTCTGCCTTATATTCTTTTTGAAATTTAAAAACAAGGCATATCTGTTTTCTTTCTGTTATATTACATTTTATATGAGGTCAACATATGTTGATTATATTCATTTTAAACCTTTGGGAAATCTGAATTTCTAAAATCAGAATGTTGGTTGTCAATTTTACCTAGGACAAGAAGTGAGGCTCAACTGCTCTGCTTCTTTGAATAAAGGTGACTTAATTCATTGGGACGTTCAGGATAACAATACACGTGAAGAACAAGCATCAAAAATTCAGTATGTATATGTGGTAATACTCACTGTGCTATGTAAAGGGCATATTGAATAATATACATATGATATAAAATCACCAGACTCCTGAATGACTGATTGGATGTTTGGGATAATGTCACAGGTAATTTAACCTATTGCTAAATTATTTTCCTCTCTTACAGGGATAAAGAAGGGAAATGGCAGGCTTCAAAAATATTAATAATTGAGAATATCAATGACAAAAATCTAAATGTCTCATATAATTGCACTGTTCTCAGTACGGAAGGCATAGATACCAAAATGTTCATCTTGTTGAAAAAAGGTGGGAGAAAGTTCTATTTTTGGAACTTTGTAGAAATTTAAACTGTTGCTGCTGAGAGATCCCTCAAAGCTCATTACTCCCTCATTTTATAAGCTAAGAACCAGGCTCCTGAGAGGTACAGTAATTTAGATGGGTCAAAGGTATTCAGTGGCAGAATTTGTGCTCAGCCTTTGCTGGAACCCCATGGCCTATCCCAAATAGAATGAAAAAACTATGCTTATTCTTTTTCTCTCAGTCATAGAACTATCCTATGTAGAAATCAGGAGTCCAGAGCAGGGAGACAGGTGGATCGTGGGAATGTAGAAGCTGGTGGTTGAAGGCTGTGCTGAACAGAGTCAGAGCATCCTTTTTACAAGCAGAGCAACCAGAGGAACACTGTGGCTTGTTGTAGGAAGGGGCCAATGTTAGTGCATGTAATTGCTGCCTCCTCCAGCCTGCCTCATCTTGGACCCTGACACTGGGAATTTTAAGCATGGTCTTTCACTCAAAAAAAATTGACCAAGGTCTCCCATCCTTAAGGGACTCCTGGATTTGTCAAGTGAATAGTTGATGTCTCAGACCAGCAGACTCTTAGTCTTCAGTGCCCACCAGATGGAACATAGGTCCAAAGAGCATCTTCCACTTCCATCCTTCATCAGAAAAGTATAACCTCTAGAGTCTTTGACCCAATAACTGCTAGTAAATATCTGAGACTAGGACCAAAATGCTATTCTCCTTTTGTCACTGGTCATTGCCAATCTGGGCTATTAACTACCTGGATATGTAGGAAAAGTTAGGTTCTAAGAAACAGAGATTGAGAGACACAAAGAGTGATGCACAGAGACAAAATAAGAAGAGACAGAGAATAGAGACACACTTTGAGACAGGAGGACCAAGGAAGACAGTTACAGAGATAGTGAGAGATGAAATAAACAAAGATACAGATAAAGAGAGAGATCTCTGTCTTAGCTTTATTGAGAAACTGCAGAAGAGGGGCAAAGAGGACTGAAGGCCAGACATCACCTCTGTAGATATGTTGTCCTGGGTACCATTTGTAACTTACCTAGTACACCTGTTCTGAGGCTAGCACTCTAGCACTGCAATCATAATAATAATTCACATCTATTTTTTATATGTCTATTATATGAGAGACTCTGTGCTGAACTCTTACCATTATTTAACTTGAATTTTACAAGCTTTTACAGGTGAAAAAAACATACCCCACATATTACAATTAAAAATATCAAAATTTAGCCCTGACAACCTTGAAATCTGTCCTCTTACCTTCTACAGGAATCCCTACCGCTTGTGAATGTGCATACCTGAGTCTGTGATGGAAATACCTTCACTTTCATTAGTTTTGTTTATCCATGGCCTTGCCTATTTTTCTAGTGTTAGCCACCAGTCATCTGTCCCTTTGGATTAACCCATGACAGTTCTAGCCCAGACCTAGAAACCTCTACCCTGATCACTTCTTTTTCTGCTGCACTCACTAATGTAAACAGGAGGGTTGTGCCTTCCATGCCACCATTATTTCTAGAGGAGTGTGCCTGCAGGTGTGAACATATGTGTTTGTGTATTTATATAATATATTGACCTTTTGAGGATTCAGAAATTTCAGGGCCTGGCTATATTCAGAGTTCACTTATTCAGGAACTCTGTTTGCCTACTTACATCCTAATAGCTAATTTTATCAGAAAAATCATCTCTAAAAAATACGCAGTCTAAGATGTCAAGAGGTTTATGTATGTTTATACTCTTTGATCTGGAAATACACCCCATACAATTGGAAATTGCTTCTGAAACCAATAAAAGTATGAATAAACTTTCATGGATATGTTCATTGCAGCATTATATGTATTTATGAAAAATTACAATCAATCTAAAATTGAGATTAGGATATTATAAATTATAATTTTAAAGAACTAGTGAAGTGTTCATGATTTAGTTTTATGCAATGAAGAGTGATTATCATATAACCCCAATTACTAAACTATTTTCAGGGTTGAAAGAAAACCCAGGAGGAAATATTAGATCATGTTATCAGTGGCCAAAAAAATTATCATATCCTATAAACTACTTAGTATTTTCTCAGATTGTTCATAATGAGCACTAACTGAACCTTTTTTTTTTCTAAGTGTACTTTTAGAAAAAAATAGATGCTAAAATTCTCAGCTGTGTGCCAGGCACTAAATCTCCCAAAACATTAACCTTCTAAGAGAAGCAGCAGATATTCCTAGCTCTATATTATGGATGAAGACACCAAGATGAAGGGAATCAGCGACATTTCCCAAGACACAAAGCAAGAGGAGGCAGCAGGCAGGGAGCCCATCTCAACCAGGGCTCATCCAGACTCACCTCCATCTGTGCGCTCAGGCTGTGAGCTGCTGTCGTGTGTGGGCAGCTCTGCATTTCACCCCAGTATCTGTTCATCTTAGAGATCTGATTTCCACAGATATAGGCTACCCTATGCTTTTGGTTCAGATGGCTGAATAGCCTGGTATACATTTTAACTTTTTTGAATTGGGGAAGGATCTCCACTCCACACTAGAGGCTGGACTGCAGAGCCACACAGACATGTGGTGGGTAGAAGAGGTCAAAACTGAAAGTTGCAGTGTGATGCTGGTAGGTATTGATAACATTTCCTGGATTAATTATTCCCACTTTCTTTTTTTTTTTCTTGCAGAACTGGTGGACATCCCAGGCCACGTCTTCACTGGAGGGATGATCGCAGCTGTTTTGGCCTCTGTGGCAGTTGTGTGCCTAGTGATTGTGGGTGTCATTTATAGAGTTGACTTGGTGCTATTTTGCAGACATTTCATGAGAAAAGATGAAACATTAACAGGTGATAAATGTTAATGTACTAGGATGTCTTTTGGTTTCATTAGAAACTCAATAAAGAAATGATTATCTTCATCTTATTTTGATTATAATATTGCTAAACGTATGGTAGACATTTTCCCTAGGAAAAAATGTCATGTATCGTCCATTGTGAATATTATCTATGCCACATTTTCTCTCACTTATTGTTGCCAAGATTTTTTCTATGTTTGCTGTGTTCTTCTAATTGTCCTATGAGGTGTGTGAGCCCTGGGACTGCATACCTGTGTATCTGAATATCATTGTTCATACACCATCTGGGGACCTTTGCAATACACACACTCAACAAAGATCATTTAAATTGAACTGCATTAGATATGGGTCATTACTTTAACCTGGCAAAGGAAGCTGCATGATGTACCTGTGGGAACCTGGAACTGCAAGTCAAATGTTCTGGGTTCTAATCCATAAATTGCCATTTTTTTATTAACTATTATTTCTTTCCTCTTTTAAAATTTAATGTTGGCATTACATTTTTGCTCTTCCATATGTGCTCATGTGCCACTCACCCTCCACCAAACTACTACCCCTGCCAATACCCCTCTGCCTCCCTCACTCAGCCCTTCTCCAGCCCTTCCTCCTCCCCCTATTCCCTCTGATAACTATTTGATTTTTTCACTGAGATCAAGAATTATTCTTGGTGTATTTTACCTGTGTACATTTTTTTGTTATTTATATTTCACACATGAGTGAGACCATCCCGTGTCTGCCTTTCACTTTCTGACTTATTTCATCTAACACAATCGCCTGAGGGTCATCCATTTTTTCCCAAAATCCACTGCTGCTTCTTTTTTTTTTTTTCCACACATTGTCTACTCTTTCTAACTGGTGACTGTAGGTCTCAGTTTTCCTATTTTTAAATGTGATTAAAAGTTCTCAATGTTCAAAATAATTATCCATGGCTTTTGTTATCATTTGTATTTATGTGTGTGTGTTTATGTGTGTGTGTTTGTGTTTGTAAGTATGTTTGTGCAGGTCACACATAGTTCAAAACACAAAACATCTAAAAAATTATACTATTTGCTTGAATTTGTTTTCATTGCCATCCAAAAATTGTTTCTTTATCTAAAAATAGCAAGAAGCATAATACCATCAATGAAAATCATGAAATAGAGGGGAAGTTTTCCTATTACAGGTAGTAGCATATAATTTTTTTATATCCCATAGCATGTGTACCAATGGCATATTGTCTCAATGTCTCTATTGTCTTTTCCCACTGTCCAGTGTTCAATTCATTTCTGTTTCTATTTTCACTTTCTGTGGGTTATTTTGATGGTAAACACTGGGGTGGTGGTAGAACTGAGTTGAGTGAACCAAGATGACATTTGCTTTCAGTTTTTGGAATGTGAGTATATTTGAGCTCCTTTAAATACCTTTAATGCCCTGATGTATATCTTATATTTTTCTCTATTCCTCCGTGGTGTCAAATGGTGAAAATCTTAATGTATATGTTTAAACAAATCCACTTGCTAACTGGTTGCTTTGTATGATTAACATGTAAAGTTTTTATTTTTTTGTTTGCCTTTCAGTTGATTTCTTATTTTTGACAACATACGTCAGAAATAAAGAATAATGCCCAAAAAAAAAAAAAATCACATAACCAAAGAGTATTTGAAGGAATTTGGAAATTTCCTAGTTTAATTATTCTTTTAGCTGTAGATTGTTTTCTGTCAGAAACATGTCTTTGGTTTTTTTTTTTTTTTAAACAGTGTTATTGAAGAGTAATCAATATGAAAAGAATCACAAATATTTAATATATACATCTTGAGGATACTAGGTTCAACTTTTCTTTTCCAGTGATTCTTTTCTCATTGTTCTTGACTTCCACTCAAATTTGGATTTAAATAAACCTTTATTTGCACACTAATTAAAACAAATAACCTTATCTCCTAGATGGAAAAACCTATGATGCTTTTGTATCTTACCTAAAAGAATGTCAACCTGAAAACGGAGAGGAACACACCTTTGCGGTGGAGATTTTGCCCAGGGTGTTGGAGAAACATTTTGGGTATAAGTTATGTATTTTTGAAAGGGATGTACTGCCTGGAAGAGGTAAGAAAGGAAATGTTAAATAGAAAACAGTGTAGGTATTTCTTGTTTAAAAAAAGAAATAGGTTAGTCTTACAAAAGACTATGCTGTTTTCCCTTAAAAGCAAATGAGTTTGATAATTTACACCAGAAATAAGCAGCTAAATCAGTATAATCAAAAGCAAAAGAAATTGTTAGCTACACTGCTTCTGAAAGCATCCTGTCTCAGACCTGGTGTCTTAAATCTCCTGCCCAGTTCTCTGAATCTTTGGAAAAATAAATGGGCCTTCCATCCTCAGAACTGGGTCCAGAGCTGTCATCTTCATGAGGCATTAATCTAGAAATGTCCCACCATATATAAGAATACCTTGTTTGAATATTCTGTATAGCAGAACCAGTTCCTAATTTAGTATATCATCTTTTGGACTGGCTGTGTGACTCTGGGAAAACTGCTTAACTCCTCTGTGTTTTGATGTCTTCATCTGTAAAGTGGTGGTGATAACAAAACTTTCTTCATGAGGTAATTACAATGATCAAATGAGTTAATATCCATAAAATATTTTTATTTCAGACCCACCCTTTTTGTTCTTTTTCATTAATATGCTTTATCTTTCATTTTCAGCTGTTGTTGACGAAGTCCACTCACTAATAGAGAAAAGCCGTAGGCTAATCATTGTCCTCAGTAAAAGTTATATGTCTAATAAAGTACGGTATGAACTTGAAAGTGGACTCCATGAAGCACTAGTGGAAAGGAAAATAAAAATTATCTTAATTAAATTTGCATCTGTCAGTGATTTCACATTCTTGCCTGAATCACTAAAGCTTTTGAAATCTCACAGAGTTCTGAAATGGAAAGCTGATCAATCTCTGTCTTATAACTCAAGGTTCTGGAAAAATCTCCTTTATCTGATGCCCGCAAAAGAGGTCAAGGCATGTAAAGATGAATCAGAATTCTTGCCTGTTCTTTCACAGTCCTGATCTTCAGAAACACTGAGTATAAGAACGAAATCTTGATACAACGGGACTAAGTACATCAGCCTGTTTGTACAAAGGACATTATTTCAAATATTTAATGCTATGAAAATCCTGCTCACAGTTTGATGATGGAACTTGTCATTCAGTTGTCAATGATAAGACTAAATATTAAGCTGTGATAATTTGCTTCCAGAAGATTCTGAAATTCCAAAGAAACCAAACTCCTGTTTTTCCTTCTTCTATAACTGGATGTCTGGGCTCATACCCAGAGACACTCAGCAACAGTGAGGCTGGGTATGATACAAAAACTTCATATCTTACAAAAAGGGCACATTTTTGTAAATAGTGTTTTTTAATGCTAATAATTGAGCTATAAGATTTTAAGATCATGAACTGGCATTTTCTATGAACTACTAGGTGACAGTGTAATAGGAATGGTGATTTCACTCTCCTACAAAAGTTACCTACCTATAAACGCTGTGGACAGTGTCTGGAATGTGGGCGCTTGCTGGCAGGGCAATGAGCTGTGAGCCTGCTGTAAGAGAGTCTCAGCCTCAGGCTCCATTTAATGTTCCCCAAGTACAATTACAGGGGCATGGTACTTGGAAGTCCTCTAAGACACCATGTAAGCCTTGCTTCCTTTGAAGCAATTTATGGGAACTTCTTAAAGAGAACCCAAAACAACCTTTTTATCTTTCATGGCACATGCAAATCTTAATTCAAGTAATTCTCTGGGTCTAATAATGGCCTAAAATATTTGTATACACAAATATTTATATGCAGGATGGGTGCCAGATCATTATTAAACAGCAAAAAATGGGGTCCCCTCGCAGGGGTTAAAGACAGCGCTATCAAGCTAGCACCAGCCACTTCAGCATGAGTTCGAACCCCAGCAGGCCAGGGAGCAACCCACATGGGCGCAGCAGATCTCTCATACCTCACCCGCTGCTCCTTTCAGCAGTGTATTTCAGTAGATCTGCGTGTTCTGCTCCCTACTCTCTCTGGTGAGTCCTCTCACACACACCCCCACACCTCTGCCTTACACCCCAGTTCTTGTATGCATAAATAAATAAATCTTTAAAAAAAAACAGCAAAAAATGATATTTACTTGCTTATTTAAAAAAAAATTACATATTTGAAATGTTTGTAGGGTGGAGGCCATGTGGCATGGTGGTTCAGCCAAAATGCATGAGTGCCAATCCTGAATTTGCTACTTACTTCTGTGGCTCCTAGGATCTTTTCTAACCTCTCTGTGCCTCAGTTACCTCATCTGTAAAATTAGAATTTATAATAAAAATACCTACTTCATGGGGGGGGGTCTAAACAAATAAATGTAAGTAAATTACTTAAAATTGTTCTTGACTCAAAGTTAACACTGTTACTATTACTATTATTGTTATTATTGAAATGATTACTTAGATCAGTTGTTAAGCAGTGAACTAAAATGGAAGCCAGAGAGCAAGAAAAGGGAGGAGATCAGGGAGGGAAAGCAGTTTTGATTTTTGAATATTTGTATAAATGGGACTATTTAAAGCTATAGCAGACACAGCTGAAAATCAAAGAGGAATGAAATTTTCATTTAAATTTAGTATAAGAAACTGACTTAATTTTTCTAGGCTTACAATTTTGTGTACTAGTTGGATGACTAGTAAGGGCAAAATAATGTGTTTTTATATGAAAATTCATTATTGAAAATACATGGTCAAGAGAATTTTATTGGTATAATCATAGTCTCTAATAACTGGAATTATTTTGTTTTTCTCTTTTATTATGTTTTAATATACATTAAATGTATTTTATTTTAATATGTTATATATGTAAATATATTAGATGTATGCTTTAAAATACATTAATGAACCAGTTGTCTAATGTCTTTAGTTTTGAAATGTCTCTTGGCATGTTTTATATTTACTTTAAAATATCATTTATTCTCAGCATAGACTCCCACTTATTTTAATGAGATGTGATTGACTCAAAATGAACTCCTGCATCTGTCTTTCTTTAAATGTCAAATTACTTTGCACCAGCTTCTTCAATTTACCTCCTAAGCAGGAACTACAGAAGAATTCTCCTTTCTCACACTATCACTCTCTACCTAGCACAGGTGCTATGTTTTCACACACCATTTATAATGTGCATACTTTTATTTTTTTTTATTTATTTTTTTAATAGAGGCATTATTTATTTATTTATTTGTTTGTTTGTTTTGTTTTGTTTATACATGCACTGGGTACAGTCAGAAGCGCGGGAGGGTGAGAGAATTCACCAGAGCCAGAGCGGGGAACAGAGCAGGCAGAAGGACCGAAGTACACTGCTGAGTGGAGCAGCAGGCAGCAGGAGAGGTCTGCGTGCCACGTGGGACCCTCCTCTGGTGGCCAGGGAGCAGCCGGGGATCGAACCAGCGCTGCAGAGGCCGCAGGCAGCTTCGCAACCCAGCGCTCAACCGCTGTGCCACCTGGGAGGCCCTATAATATGCATACTTTTAAATTAGCAAACATTTCCAAGCAGGACCAAGAAACAATTTTTATTGATAAGATAATATTCTCTTATATGTCAGTAGATGTTCTTCAAACTCTGGGTCCATTTTAGAAAGTCAATCAACAAGCAGTGTTCTGTAATGTAAAAGTCACCTCATATTCTTTTATCTCTATTACATACTAGAAACTTTATTAAATTAGACTCAAACTCTTTGAAAGTGGAGAGAGACCTTAGTGTTCACATATTTCAAATACAGGAACCTGAAATACAGTAAGTCCAGGAACTCTACCCAAGTCACACATCTAATTAGTGTGACAAGGCAACAAGAGCAGAGAGGGGTACAATTTTCTCTCTGGCACTACCCATTGCAAACTGAAATATTGTGTATTATTGTGTATGAGAAATGTGTGTGTGTGTGTGTGTGTGTGTATCCTATTCAGATGACAAAGTCATGTGTATTTGATCTTCTAGTGATAAAGGTGTTTCTTAATTAGTGAGTAAAGTGACATTTGGGGAAGCACCTAAGGGTGGGCACTGTTGGCAAGAGACACCTTTATCACACCAGAGGGTGGGAATTTCTAGTCCCACCTCCAGATCTCCAAGAAGGGGAGAGATAGTATAGGTTGAATCAATTGCCAATGGGCAATAATTTAATCAAGCTATGAAACCTCCATAAACATCCAAGAGAAGGTGCTTCAGAGAGGTTCTGGATTGGTAAACACGTATAAATCCTGGGCAGGATGGTGTGCCTGGAGAGGGGAGGTAAATTTGTGTCTTTTTCCCCTATATTGCTCTATGCAGGTCTTTCGTCTGAGTTATATCCTTTGTAATAAATCAACAATCCAGAGAGTAAATGGGTTTCCTAAAGTCTGTGAATTGCTCTAGTAAATTAATCAAACTTGAGAAGGGGAGCTCCCCAATCTATAGCCAGGTAATAACCTGGGATTGAGATTTTACCCTGAAATCTAAGGAGAGGTGGGGAATGGGCACCTCTAATCTGTAGAAAGTTAGTGAGAAGCACAGATAACAGCCTGGGCTTGTGACTGGCATCTTAAGTGGAGGTCAGTCTTGGAATCTGATGTTTGTTTTGAGGAAGCCTCCACACACTCACAGTGGAACTAGCTCCGGAACCCAAAACAGTGAAATTCCAAGAAAGCATTTGGAATCTTCAGATACTTTTTGTTGTTGTTGTTGGAAGTCTCCTTACAACAGGAGGGTCTAGAACAGATTCTTGAAGAGAGGAAGCAGGTCTGCTTAGGACTGACTCGGAAGTAAAAAACAGACTTTCTTTTAGGCTATTAAGGTAAGGACGGAGGTAACTCAAGTCCTTAACTCACACCCCTGTGAAAGTGTACACCTGCTTGGAGTATGCCCACTGTGGTGTCTGCTGACTTACAGGGAGTTAGACACTCAACAGGTTGTAGAGCTTGACCCGAGAAAAATGGACCAGCACCTCCAGCCAGGTGCAGAGAGGATGAACTTTTGTGTGACTCTCAACATGCCTACCTGAAGGGGAAACACTGGCAGAAACAGTGCTCCCAGGGCTGAGTTGAATTATAGATTTTATTACTCAAAGGAAATAACCTGTCTCCTGGACTGACATATAGTTCAAGGGAACCCCAGAGCCTGGAGGGAGCCATCTTTGCGAGCTGCGGCTCCTGAGAGGGAGGCTCACCAGCAATGGAGAACTCTACAAGCCACAGACCCAACAGGAAACAGTATGTGTGTGAGCTGTGAGCAGGACACAGAAGCTTCTGGCCCCATCTGCATGCTACACCGATGATAGCGATAGCAGTCCAGGCTGGAGCTCTGAGACCAACACCTTTATTTTTGTGTGAGGTTTACAAAAGCCAAATTTTATCTCTTTATGGTGTTTTCTTTGATCACACAGACACACCTAGGACACGATACCCCGCTTATATAATCGCACTAACCTGATACCAGGGGCTCAGCAAGCTCCTGTGCAGTTGCCAGCTCCAGAACCAGTCTGAGGTCCAAGATGACATAGACTCCTGTACTGTGGAGCTGTCAAGGACTGAAAAAGCTCACTATTTTTTTAAGCTTCAAAATAAGAAGTTCATTTTTTAAATTACCTTTTAAGAGATTTATTATATCAATGTCAATTTTTGTACAGTCATTGGTTTCTCCCCTCTGGTGTAGTCCTCAGAGTTCTTCTAACACTTTATCACCCATAGACCATCACCATATTCCCTTGTGCTCTTCCCTCCTCTGATTTGACTCCTCTCCCTCCCCCTCTCTTGTTGTATGCTCAGACTTACGGTCAGCTTGCTAGTTTTATATTTCTCTTGGCCTTTTTTGGTTCAGTTTCTCTATGTTCTTCATATAAGTGAAACAATCCAGCATTATCCCTCCCAGCTCCATCCATGTTGCCACAAATGGCATGAGTTAGTCTTTTTTGATCACTGAGTAATATTCCATTTTGTCAAAATACCACAGCTTTTTGATCCATTTATCTATTTTTTGGGCATTTGTGTTGTTTCCATATCTTGGCTATTGTAAGTAGTGCTGCAATAATTTAGGAGTGCAGGATTTTCTCAGATTAGTGTTTTGTGTTCTTTGGGTAGATTCCTAGCAGTAGAATTACTAGTTCATATTGTAATAGGGTGGTCACCAGGAAAGGGGGAGGTTCCAGGTTTCCTGCCCCACCCAAGGGAGGGTGGAGCTGAGCAGAGAGAGGAGATGCTGCAGAGGAGACTGAGGAAGGAAGGAGCCAGGATGGAGAGCCAGAAGGAGACCTGGAGGAGGTGCATGCAGTCAAGCGATGCATGAAGAAACTGCATTTGCCTTTTGGTCAGGGACTGGGTGACACAGATGTGGGTGAGAGACCTGTGGGGAGGCGACAATAGCAGTTTTTGTCTTGATTTT